GTGACTAACGTTTGAAAAGTGTGTATTTTACGAATTTTCACCTATGCCATTATTTGAGAAATGGGCACTTTTCAGCAATGGATTACGCTTAATTTTGAAATTTTGTACCTATCGACTCAAGTTGTTTTGTGTAGACTTTTAGAACCTAATCAATATCAAATAATAAAATCTCTCCCCACTTGGGCGGAAAGCGATGTGACTAACGTTTGAAAAGTGTGTATTTTTACGATTTTTCACCTATGCCATTATTTGAGAAATAGGCACTTTTCAGCAATGGATTACGCATAATTTTAAGAATTTGTACCCATCGACTCAAGTTGTTTTGTGTAGACTTTTAGAACCTTATCAATATAAAATAATAAAAACTCTCCCCACTTGGGCGGAAAGCGATGTGACTAACGTTTGAAAAGTGTGTATTTTTACGATATTTCACCTATGCCATTATTTGAGAAATAGGCACTTTTCAGCATGGATTACGCATAATTTTAAAATTTTGTACCCATCGACTCAAGTTGTTTTGTGTAGACTTTTAGAACCTAATCAATATCAAATAATAAAATCTCTCCCCACTTGGGCGGAAAGCGATGTGACTAACGTTTGAAAAGTGTATATATTTACGATTTTTCACCTATGCCGATATTTGAGAAATAGGCACTTTTCATCAATGGATTAGGCATAATTTTGAAATTTTGTACCCATCGACTCAAGTTGTATTGTGTTGACTTTTAGAACTTTAGCAATATCAAATAATAATATCTCACCCCAGTTGGGCGAAATGGGTTGAAAAGGTGTAATACCAAATGATTTAATTATATGGGTATTTGATACAACTTTATCATTTCCAGCAATGTATTTCGGATATATTGTACTGATATATTGGATTGTTCTCAAAAATTCCTAGTTGTACATTATAGAATATTTATATTTTTCGTTGTTGAAAATGTTGGTATTCTTTCTGTGTAAAGAAATGTCAATAAAGTTTAGTTTAACTTGCGAGGTACTTCGGTATTTCCTTTCAGCAATCTCTTTTTAAAGTACTTTCTCGTGCCGTATTGTTGTAGTTTTCAACTCATATTTATAAATTGTTGCTTGATGATTCGCACTTTAAATATTTTCTTAGACGCTACTATTATTTCAAGTCAGATACATAAGAATATCTTTATTTTGTTTTTTTACTTTCTTTTTTCGAATTATGCGCATGGGTATTTACTCCCTCCTGCAATTCTGCTAAGATATTTGAACTTTTTGCTTGGTTGCGCACAAAGGTCACCGTGCGACTCACTTCACAGTGGTAGGTATTGGGTACCAGGTTCAGGTTGTGCGCCATCTTGGTGCACATACTTCGGAAGCACGTTTTTTTATGGAGTCCAGCAATCCTCTCGCACATGATCATCCCCGCATGAGATTCGAACCTACGAAGGGCAATTAGAGATGCGGTGACGAGCGTATTCCCAACGGTTAGCACGATGCGCCACACCGCCTTTGTATGGAACTCCGACGTGACTGCTGTAGGTGCAACGTACTTCCATTTGAATGTCTGATCACCTTATGTAGTCGAGAAATTGGAATGGCAGTTACCAACGTAGTCCACATTATTCGAGTCCTATTCGTTCTTTGCCCATCATTTCAAGTGTGAACCGTTTCTAACTTTTATATCCCATTTGTTTTAAGTCCACCAACTGGTATTTTCGGTGCCCTCGATACGTCCGCCACTTATACATGACTCTTCCTCGACAACAAGAGCTTTATATTCGATTATTATCACTATTTTTAATTGTTCATAATCAAAGTGTCCCAAATCGTGTTATAGACTACAATGTTACATTCTTTATTTTCTATTTTATAAAGTTATTATGCCAAACTAATAGTTTTTTTCCATCAACCCTTGATCTGCTGATCAATACTTCTTCATTGAGCTCCATGTTCAATCTTGATAAATATATCCAAAGATTACAAATTATTGCAAAAATTTGCATGAGTGGCCGGGACTAATGAATTGTAGGCTACTTGTGAAGACAAGTTCTGTGTGAAAACATTTCTATTTAATGCTTATACTCAAAGTGTCCGTATTCATTTTCCATAGTGATATCAAAAGTTGCATCCTATTAGGCCTACCCTTTTAAGTTACTCTGCCAAATGTGCTGTTTTTTTCATTCACTCGATTGATTAAATATACTTATTGAATCTTAAATTATTCATTTATACGAAGTCTACAATTTACTACAACATTTGCATGAATGGCACGGTCGGAGAAATGTATTGTGTACTGTAAACCAAAATTGGATATATGTTTAAATCAGTGCATTTGCATCAGTCCCAACCTGGGGTTAGCGGGTTGCAGAACAAAATAATTTGGTATTCCCGTAGTATGTGAACCAAGATAGCGGACCAGGTTAGGCCATAATTTCAGGTACAAATACTATGGGAGTCACTTGGCTAGTCCCCGAACTCATAATAGAATTAAAATAAGGAAAATTGGAATAAAATTATGGCCCAACTTGGTACACATACTTCGAGAGCGCCAATAATTTCACCTACGGCTTTTTTCTATAATATTTATTTTAATTAGTGGTGGTGGAAAAAATAAATTTGTTTATAGACGGAAAAATTGAAAACGAGAAACAATGGAACCAATTTTTAGGGCTTTGGGTTGACCAATCCCAGAATCAAACTAATGGGTCTCACTTCAGAACACTCTCACCATCATGACACCTTATCTGTTGACAGCATGCATTTTAATTCGAATATAAGACTGTGGTTCTCAACCTTTTGTTAAGATTTATTGTTGTTAGGATTAGACCGGCGCTCCAATTGTTCAAGAACTATGTTCAAGTGCGACATCTTGGTACCCATACTTCGGGAGTACCCCGTAATCTACCCACAATGGTTTGGAAAACGTTCAAACTATTACTAAGCTGAACCCGACCCTAGAATCGAAACATGGTTTGCTTGTCTAATCCGCGCCATCCCGTTTTTTTGCTTCAGAAATATGTATGTCTGTACATAAAAAAGCAAAATACCAAAGGCAAAATCCCTCTTTACCACCAATTTCATGCATCTGGAAACAAATACCTGGCTAGCTATTCTCATACCCGACGTGAACTAGGTACCGCATAAGAGACAATAGTTCGGCATGTGGTTAACCGTAAATATATACTAACCCATCTTATCTTTACTATCCTTATATTCTTCATAAATGTGTATTGCATTTTCGAATAACATAGTTTTATTTCAGTGTTCAGTGTCTTCTAGACATGATTGTTGATCTTTCCTATTTTTTCATGTTATAATTAGGGCTGGGCATTTCGAATCGAATATTCGAATCGAATCGAATAGTAAATTATTCGAATCGGTTAAGAGCAAATTTTCGAATCGCGCCATCTTGTTTTACTCTTTTCGCCAATGGTCGAGGTAAATTTCCCAATTTTTTTTTCATTGAAGCCATATTTTTTCAACACAATTCTGACATATGACTCTTTTCTGTATTGAGGTATTGATGAAAACGTTTTTTTTTTTAATGTCAGTGATGTATTCTATGTTTTCAGTAATTTATGTGTCTGGAGGACCTAAAATGATAGGAAAGTTACATCCAATTTCATACCTTCCAAGTATTCGAGATTCGATTCGAAAAAATTATTCGATTCGATTCTGAAATCATCAGGTATTCGAAAATGCCCAACCCTAGTTATAATACAATTACATGTTGATTGAGATAATTTCACTGTCATGAAGATATCTTTTCTCGTTAGCTACCAGTTTGCAGTGGCGTATCTAGGTAAAATGGCGCCCATGGCAAAGGTTTAAAAGTGTGCCCCTTTCGTTTACATGACATTGATTGCTCTCAACCACGCAACGTAACAAGCAATTTAATAACTATAAAATAAACAACAAGCAGTAGACGATCGGGCAATAACAAGATCTTAGAATAGTATGTTTCGTGATGCAAATTTGCCAATGATTTCATCAAAATTTATTTTCTTTGTTTCACTCCTCTTTATACTTAATATAGCCAGATCACAGAGCTTTCCTGGCTAATTGAAGATCGAAGATATGACAGAATTAATTTTAGTTTACTAAACGACCGATCGCAATTTTCTATGGATAGGAGGCTACTGCCAATGTCAGCAAAATTTGCAAAGCTATCCGGAGATTGGGGAAATCCAGAAAAGACTCTTTGACACACACTGTTTTCTCGTCATAGTCTATATTTTACATGGGCAAACTATATCCCGCGGGCCAAATCCGGCCCGTTGGGTAATTCAATCTGGCCCGCCTGATGCCTCCGCAACCAAACTAAAACCAAATTTTAATGTTTCAGCTGAAAAATAAGTCGAGGAATTTGTTTAAATTGCGATTAAATTTAGTTTTGGCACGAGACTAATTGTTTTCCACTTTTGCTTTACTGTAAATATTGAACTTGCCAAACCCCCCTTCCCACCCACCCCCCGCCGCTAGGTGAAGGAACAAACTGCATTGATCGTTGGAAACTGCAAACTGCATTGACTTTTGTTGAATTTGTTATGATTTAATTAGAAATAAGAGTTTCATTTATTTTCAAGTTTTATTGAGACATTATACGTTTAGAACGGGCGAGACATTATACGTTTACGGGCGTTTTTTGCGCCCCCGTCTAAACGGCGCCCATGGCACGAAGCCATGGCTGCCATACCCTAGATACGCCACTGAGTTTCACTGAGTGTTATGTTTTGCCGGGATGGCTAATAAAAACGATTTGATTGATTATCGGTTTACCTCTCGCCGAGATAATTGGACTCGTAGTGGACATAACGATCGTTTCAATATTATGTTGTTGTTGTTGTTCTTGTTCTTTGACACGTTTTTAAAAAGTCGCTTTCTCTTCGAATACTGGACCAATTGCTTTGAAATTTTCAGTGGTTAAAGATAAAAATTTTCTCCAGAAGGCTATTACTTTTTTTTTCGACGTCATCAAAATTATGTGACTCTACGTGTCCATATATTTGAGCATAGCTCTCTTGTTATGTAAATCAAACTTTGCTCTTAGTTGTCACGGTTCACTGATTCGCTAGGTAAACAACAGCACGTGTTGGTAACTTCTTTTTGATTAATTAAAAACAATTGGGGCAATTTCAATATCAAGTTCATTTGAATAAAAAAAGTGACTAAATGGGTTATAGTCACTTTGGTGTTGTCCAAAGAAAACTTTATTAACCGAAGGGACGGCCCTGTGTTGCGGGACTACCGTACTGTTCTAACTAACGAGCCGTGGCTTAATTCTGTAATTTAACTCTGAAACCTGGAAACACTGCATCATGAGCAGGCGAAAACTTTTTAACGTTTTCAAGCAAATACCTTCGTTAGTCATTGGAATGATTCATGTCAGGGCCTTGCCAGGTGAGTAATTTAAAAGTTTTTGTTGTTCAACCTTGAGGCGCAGCTCAAAAGTAGGCTACATGCATCTCAACATCTATTCAGCTATTAGAGTTACCGGCAACTGGTTACTGTTTAATCCAGTATTAAAACCATCTTGTAATCGTATTTTCCTCCTGTCTATACTAAACTAATTTACTAGACTACTTGTTAATATTTTTATTATTACTATGACTGTTATTTTATTTTGGTTGACGAAAAAATAAATCTCACTCTCTCTCTAATAATAATGATCATAGTTGCAGTGGCAGAGTTATCAATATTTTCGATTTTATACCAAATTCCACTGTGTTAATTAATGTTGGAGAAAAAGGTTGTGAAAGAGGGAATAAAAATTTGATGTTATTCAATGCACTCATTACGCTTATGTCCACAGCCATGTAATTATTTGATATATCAGTATCGCTGATGCAATTTCAAATATCTGCTACACAGATTTCAAAAAATGATTTCTTTCAATTTTTAAGGAACTGCTCGCCATTCGTTGTCTATGAAGAAGATCAAAGATATTGCTTTGAGTGAAGTTGATATTTATGCTGAATGTGGAATTGTAAGTTGAAATAGCAAAAAATAGTTTTTGTTAAAATTATAGCAAGACAAAGCTGTAATATACCAAATTAAAAAAAATTATACAATATCTATTATTAATTTACATTTATGCATATAAGTATAATAGTACTTTATCATTTAATACTAGAATTTCTCTTGTAATAGAAAATGTAATTTTGTATTTTTTCAGGACGGTATCATCATAGAAAATATGCATGATCTACCATATATCTGTGGTGAAAACATAGGACCAGAGATTGTGGCATCTATGGCTTCAGTTACAACTACAATTAAAACTAAATTTCCGGAAATTCCAACTGGAATTCAAATATTGAAAGCAGGAAACATACAATCAATGGCAGTTGCGCATTCTACAGGTATGTAGGATACTTACTACTACTCTAACAGTATTTTAGCTTCCTTAACAGAGCTTTGCTTAGATTGTATAATGTCTGCATAAGATATTATCGTGAAATTTGGAATGTTACTACCCAGTTTTAACTTTCTTGTTAGTTGACTGGTATGTCCAATTGATTTTGTGACCAGTAACATCAAAATTCTTGCAATACTTCATTGTAGTGCACTGTTGACGGTGGGGCGCATTATGCTAAGCGTTAGTAATACTCCCGCCACCACACCTCTAATGACACTGCGAGAGTTTGATGGACTCCTCTCTGCCAAAAGGTGGTTCACATAACCACTGATCAGTTACGGCTTCCTCTACCATCAAGTTTATGCTCCCGAAATCAAATAACTAACCTATACCTGATGTGGACTGGTAACCAGACAAGAGGTCGTGGTTCGCCATATGACTCGCCAATCTCATCAACTTTCTTCTCACCGGGGACAAATAAATGCTATTCTATCTTATTCACATTAGTAAAAGTGGATGAATTTGAGTTGATGACCTAATATTATATTAAATAAACAACTCTTTTTGTACATTGTGCTACTTCTTCTTACTTAAGTTGGTGTATTATTCATGTTGATCAAAGTATTGAAAGATTTTTGGGGTATTCTTATTCTTTGACAGTAATTCACGAACTTATAGTCCTACAGGTTGTGATTTTATAAGAGCTGAATGTTTTGCATTCTCACATATTTCTGATGCTGGATGGGTGAATGCATCTGCTGGTGAATTGCTGAGGTACAGAAAACAAATTGGTGCAGAGGATATTTTGATATTTACTGATATTAAGAAAAAACACAGGTAACAACAATTCATTATATAAACGTTGATGTACTTGTTTAATTTATATTAAAACTGTTTTTTTTTTTCAATCTGACAGTGGAAAAAGATGAATTTTGTTTATATTTGTGTGTTATGAGCTAAAACGATTCATCTGAAAAATGCTTAAATTCGAGAGACAATGTTACCTAGTCATGCTTTGTTTATATTGGTCATCTTTCACCTATAATGAAGAATAAGCAATTTTAAATATTGATTGCCATTGGCTTTATTGCTTAAATTATTATTGCCTTTGCTATAAATTAATTTCTCAATAGACATAAATCGATTATCTTTATGCCAATACTAAGCATTAGGAATACGCTCACCCACGGCACCTCTTATTACCGTGCATGGTTCGCAGGTCGAGTTTCATGCAGGGTTAATGATGTGCAAGACGATTGCTAGACTCCTAGCCGACATAGGGTGGTTCACGTAACCGATGGCCAGCTTCCTCCAACATCTGAAAGAAGTCCATGCATCTAAAAACAGATAACTGGCTAACTAATTCCATACCCAACATGAACTGGTAACTGAATGAGAGGTAATATGAATAGACTGTATTATGGGCTTCTCATGATAAATAGATAAATCCTATCCTATCGAATACTCAAATGTCCAATACATATTTGTTATCCCATTTTATAAAAAATGCGAAAATTACGGAATGTTTTTAATGACTAGTTTGTTTCTTTATACAGTTCTCATTCCATAACATCAGATTTGAGTGTAGTTGAATCTGGACAAGGAGCAGAATTTTTTCTATCTGATGGATTAGTCGTCACAGGAACTAAGACTGGATCTGCTGCCAATCAGAATGAAATTAAAGGTGGGCATGACTTCATTGGGTATATTCACTCCATTTTTATTTGAAACAGACATAAAACTTGAGCCCTATATTCTTATTAAGAAACTTGGATCTGATTCATTTATCATGTACATGGTGTTTTTCATTTTTTAGATCTCCAATCTGCAGTTGACATTCCGGTTTTAGTTGGATCTGGAGTAACAACAGAAAATGTCCATCAATTTGTAAATGCAGATGCATTGATAGTAGGGTCACACTTTAAAGCCGGTGGCTTGTGGAGCAATGAGATGGAACATAGTAAGGTGAAGAATTTTATGGAAAAGGTCAAAGAGTTGAGGACATGATTACACAAATTGCGATCGAATGATTTAAAAGGGCGTGGCGAAGGTCAAGTAGTATTAAGTGGATCAAAAAACTAGTTAGTTGAATAATGATGGGTGAGGAATGAATATTGTGCAAATGGTGTTGATATTGATGTCTCCTAAAGCTGATGGACCATGGTCATGGCTTGGAAACTGGTATGAAATAAGAATTACCTGTACTTGTGGACTTCTTTTTTTGGCTCAAAGTTGGGATCCAGCTCTAATTTTGGCTCAATAGTCTATGATTTTTGTTGATACACTACCATGAAACATCTGCCCAAATGCTGCTTTGTGGCAGTGTGATTCCAAACCATGATACAAGGGTTTCATACTTTTAATTTTACAAATTTACCTTTTGGATTAATATCAGATATTGAATAAAATTATAAGCTGAAGAATTATTATAAATTGGGGGGGAAATAATTAGATCTTTTTTGGGTTTAACGAATTTCATCTAAACAGTTGTATATCATGGTATCTTTTTAAAGCTATAGTTCATCGCAGTTATATCAACCTATTAATAAAATAGCTTGGCAGTGTGTAACTTTTCTCAAATATATGTTTTAGTGGGCATGTAAATGAAACTACACCTTCGATTGATTCTAAAACATCATTTTGTCACAAGTGTTGTATGCGTGGGTGTACTTATGTATGGTAGCGCTTAGTTGTTATGACAAACCTTGGGGTTATAAGCTAATGCGTGAATGACATTTTATTCATAATCTACTGATAAAATTTACATCATTTTCATCACAGACAAGTCGAAGATGAGAAGTTAGTGTACATCAATGTATATATAATCAGGGCAATGAATATTTCGTTGCAGGGCTTTGCCTAAAATTATAACTATCCTGGATGACCTCAATTTGGCGCATGTTTATATGCAGTTTGAGAAATAAATGACTTAGTTACCAATGTTTTTAAGGCATTTCAGATCTCATTGCAGTTTTTGCTTTAGCAGTATTATCAACCCACATTCAACAAAAAAATAGTATAAGTATCTATGTATCACAATGATCATTTCCTATGAACCTTGCACAAAATTAGCTTCACCTTCAAAAAGATCTAATGGCGCGTCCAGTTTCAACCGTTAAATACAGGATCGCTGAATCCACTAAAATCTCTCGTAGTTATGTCAATTGAGGTAAGTTTTAACTTCCCATTTCTTGCCATGGTAACTAGTACAGATATTTATATTAATCTGCGGCGGATAAGATGGTGAACACTTCTGAAATACAGCTCCCGGCAGTAAACATAACTCAATATTAATTTGAGCTCCATTTTATAAATTTTCCTTGATCTTTCCTGGAATATATGAATGAAAGCTCAGCAAGTTGTATTTTTCTAATATTTATGTATAGCAAATCAATCAGTGATATGGGTAAAAGCCATCATTGAATAAAAGATCTCAATCCATGATGCAAATATACAATAATCCACAAACTGTAAATGAGTAAAATGTTTATGCAACAATGTGAGGTATTAGAAAAGATATCTTCAGCAGGATTTCTGAGACACTATGGGCTTACCATATATATATGAAGCAAAAAAACGTGACAATGCAGATAAAACAAACCTTATTTAATTTCGAGATAATATCCGAAATAACTTGTCATATGTGCATACTTGCATGCATGGGTCTAGTTGGAACTGATATGAATAAACAAATTTAGGCAATGGCACAAATAGGAGCACCTTGTCGTTGGGGCTCGGCTCTAACTTCCCAAGAAATGCAAGTTCAAACTTCTGCACAGGAATCAAGACTTGGGGGGAAATCAAGATCCATTTATTATGGGATAAATACATTCGAGCATACAGGTAAAATTAATATATTGAAGATAAATAAAAACTAACAAAAAAATAAGACATATATAGTGATGCTATACGAATATAAACTCTAAACCAGGGGTGTGCAACCCTTTGCATAAGCTAGCTGTTGAGGCAATATAAAGTTATAGGCATAGATAAATTGGACTCAGGTTTAGGCTTCGCAATGCGAAAAGATTGAAAACCTGTTTCGCGGGCCGCACATCATTCAAAATTGTCACTTTCCCGCATGCCGCATAAAATCCTCAAGGGCCGCTTCTGGCAGGTTGCACACCCCTGCTCTATAATATAAAAGCTACTGGAAAAATATGAAAACATATGATGCAATAATCATTAGTGAATATTGGAGTCATTGATATGGGCAAGATAGGTTCAACAACAGCAAGAAAAGTCTGTTTTTTCCAGAATATACTTTGTTTCATCTAAGAGCGGTTTCAATTGCTTTGGAATATCAAGCAGATCGTATTTCCTCATAAATTCTTTTTTCTGCTTCTCACCATCTTCAATCTTTCCATATCCAGCTATTATGGCTCTTCCAAGATTATATAAAGCCCAAGCAAATATGTTGGGGTTTTTATTGAACTGTGAGTTTATTCCATTTTCATGATTAAATGACAGATGAAATACTTCCAGTGCCTTCTCATACTCTCCAATTGCTGCATAGAACTTCCCAACATGGACAATACAACTAGAAGCAACCACAAATTCAGCGGCATTTTCTTTTGCAATTTTGTATACTTGCTCACATTCAGCGATTGCAGTTGGAATTGGATGCTGCTGAGCCACCTCCCTTTTTTTGTACAGTTTGGTGATCGCTTTAACAAGGTATTTCATAGCATTCAGGATCGTGTATGGCGTTCCTGAAACAAGTTTGTAGATTCCATGCTCATAAAAATCATCCCTCACATCTCTCAAAGCCATTGCAAGTTGCCTAGCTTTTTCAATTCGCTCCCAAAATTCATCATCTGTCTCATTTTGCCGAGAATGCAACATTCTTGGAAGTTTGTTGTTTGCGACAAGGATATACTCGAAAATAGATTTGACTTTGGTGTCTTCATACATAATTTTACATAACTCTAATCCAAGCTCAGTGTACCATTCATAGCGTTTCTGCTCTTCTCTTGTTATATCATTTTTCAAATATAAAACCTGACGACCTCTCGAATGCAATATCGAAGCAATGCGTTCTGTGAGGTATATACTTCTTAGCACATTTGGTTTTAAAAGACAGTTGTTTCCCTGGAGAGTTTTCAATTGCAAATCTGTTAAATATCGTTGTTTTTTCAATGTCTCTGCCATTTCTTTTTGTTGTTTTTCTCCTATTTTTCTCTTCATACCTCCTAGCAAATCAGATGTGACTGGAAACAACCTCGAGCAATTTCTCTGGATAAATTCTAGCGGTATTTTTTCACTTGCCTTTTTCAGTTTTTTGTATGCTTTTTAGCTGTCTGGTGAGGGTTCTTATCACATCCATAGTGTAAAAGTACCTTTAATTCGGCTGCTTTTGTTGTATGGTTTCCAGGGCATAAACGAAAAAATGAATTCCCAGTATAACAGCATGCAATACTCCATAAGTAATCAATAGCTTTCTCAAAATTGTCATCCTTTGTAACTGGAGAATGTTGAGTAGTTGCAAATCCTAAAACTTCATACAAACGAGACAAACTCATTTGTAATTCAAAATTTTCCTTTTTAGGTGTATCCAGTTTATACTCTTTTTCCAAGAATTGAACTCCTAATTCAGTAACATGATTCATGTGGTTCAACATGTCATACAGAAGAACAGAATCCGTTCGAAGTCTGTTTTCCTTCCCAACTAAACTGATCATGGCCTGCACAACGTTCACAAGAACTTTTGCTTTTTCATCCTCTGACATACTCATTCGTACCGCATGAAGGATATCCATGTGAATGTTTAGCAACTGATTACCATATTCATGTGATAATTTGGTATCACATACACTTGCATCACACTTGCTTTCTAATTTCTGAAGTAAGTACATGACTTCTTTTTGTATTTGTTCATTACTTATTTCCTCAACTGCTTGAAATAGCCTCCCAATAAGCAAATCTGGTATATTTTCATTGTTGAGAAAGGACATCATTTTTATGACCTCAAATTGCCTCTCTTCTCTCTTTTCTTTCTCTCCTCCCTCTTCCCTTGGCTTTAGAATTTTCAATATAACTTCGTAGCCATGATTTTCACCCAACCCATGCAATTCTGGATGTTCATCCATTATTTTCTTTTCTACGTCAATGACATCTTGATCTTTTCCTAAACCCTCAAAGTACTTTTTGTAAGATTCGCCGTATGTTTGGCAGTAAATTTTTGCAAGCAACAGTCTCAATGGTGAATATGCAAGAACTTTAGCCAATTGTTGTCTTTCTTTTTTGCTGGAATTCTGATTTGGAATGTTTAAAAACTCTTCTGCTTCTTCTTCTGTAAAACCAGTTACTTGCTGCACAACATAATTGTTCAAAGCATCAATATCTTCTTGAATATAAAATGCATTCTTCACCTGATCAACAGTGACCATTTGTATGATTTGATTATCATCAGACTGATCTAAAACTGCTGTAACACATTTTTGAACAAGGTTATTTTCTTCTTTTGTTACATCTTCCACAACAAAAAGGGCCCGAAGATTAAATTTCTTGAAGATATGGATAGCTCTTTGCATTTTGAGATCTTCTCCATCTATTTCTAAATCATGTTTGTCATCATTTGTTAACAAGCCAGCTCTTTCAAGGGAATTTATAAATTCTTGCCACTTTTTTTTAACAAGATCCATATCCCGTTGACACTGGACATGAAATATGATGAAGTTTCCTATAGTTTTGTCCAAATGTTCACACACTGCTCGAACAGCTTGAGACTTTCCACTGCCTGACATTCCGTAAACATGAATAACTCTGTTTTCTCCGCCTTGAACGCATTCTAAGATATCCTTAAAGCTTTTATATTTTTTAAAACTTGGGCGTGGACGTGTGTAAGTTTTCAGTTCACTCAAATCGAACTGGAAACGAGGGAAAGAGGGCAACAGGTCTGAAGTTGTTGTCATTGAATTGAAGCATCCAGCTATGGTATCCGTATCGCTTTCAACATTGTCAATGTAGGATGTGCCTGCTACACTGTGTATATTTCCCAAGTTATCACACTCCTCACTATCCGATCGTGCAACCCCATGTAAATCATGAAATGCCCTGTTTCGTCGTTGGCAGTCTGAAAATAGTTTTTTAGCCTAGTGAAATATATTGTACGGTTGTAATTACCTCCATTTGGAGGAATTGTACTGGAGCTGAGCATTGTAATCTTGGTCAACAAATGCGTTCAGTCGATACGATTTTATTCAAGTCTTCAACAATATTTCAAAGTAAAGTGATTGGTGTACTGAATGTAATATATAAACATTGTAGACTGCCACGCTATTATGAATTCAATTTCTTCTATCTTTTTATCCATGATAGTTGCTAAATTTTGTCATTTATAAATAAAAATAAAAAAAGCAGAGCAACATTTTTTCCAAATCATGGAACACATCCTGTGAAATATTTATGGTCGAGAACATTTCTGAGCTGGGAATTTTTTTTCTAGTAAAGCCATGCTGCACATAATACAACTATATTGTTGAAAAAAATGTTTTTTACATACCTCGAAAATCATCAACTGCCTTCTGTATAGCAGCAACGGCCAATTGATACTTTTGTTCCTTCTCATCTGAACTAGTCTTGGAAATACGTTTGATTTCATTGTGGTCAATGCCCAATGTTGTTTCCCATATTTTGATGTTGGCATCTGGATGTAACTGCTGACCATCTATTCATAACAAACAAATATTTTTTTATACGTGTATTGCATTACTGTAAAACAATAGCTGTTTACAAACTAATGAAAGTATTATACAAAATATCTGTAATTATTGTGATTATTTCAAAACGAACATTAAATGTACTATGCCTAAATGTCGTCCTATGTTTGTTTATTTCAACTTTCCTCTGCTATTAAAGATAAAAAATTGTTAATTTGAGCCTTTCATTGTAAATGCCTGTGTGCCTTCTTAAGAGTATGCTAAGCAACATGAACCTATTAAAAAAAATAAACAGGAATATAATTTCTAATATTTATAAATAACAACATAATATACCTTTATCCCCATGTAGATAATTGCGACTCTGTTGCAATTGTCTCCATACATCAGAGCAGTTCATTTCCACAAGCTGATCAACGAAGGCACTGCAGAAGATTGTTTTGGCTATACCAAGCCAGTGATTATAAAACTGATCATCACCTGGAAGCAAAAATAAGTTATTTCGAATAAACACTCATATTCCTGCTAATGATAAGGTATAGTGAATGATTTCAATATAGTGAACAGTAATTCATTTCTTCATTAACAAATGAAGCTCCGAGCAGTCACTGAAATGTAATGAACTTTTAATTCAATTCGTTTATTACTCCAGACCACTGTGGTCCATATAAAAACAACACAACAAACAAACATAAGCAAAACTAACGCAATAAATACATAAAATACCTGATATGACAATCAGATTCACAGTAAGTCTCAAAAAAGAGTTATACTATAGCAATTTAAGAGACCAAAAGTGAGGTATAGAATCTAAGATAGCCCGTGACAAACAGTATCTGGGAATCAAATAATGATTGTAATAGAATGTTATTAGAGTTCCTGCATCTCGTCATGAACAACCACAGATTTTTTCTATGGAGTGCTTCGAAAGAGGGAATGTTCCCAGATACCATTTTGTGACGGACACTCTCAGATCTAGAGACACAGTGAATTACGCGATAAGCATTATTTTATGAAATTTTAACTTTTTTATAACTATAATTATTGAAAAAACAACAAGAGCTGGCAGTTATAAATGCTACAACAATACGTCCTAAATAAAAGATTTTTCACAGTAGTGGAACAATTGACAAATTTTTCCAAAATTGTATGGGCTATAAAATAAATTGATTTATACTGACGTTTCAAGTCAAGGTCATCTCTAACATCACTGGATAGGAAAACACCAAGATATTTAGTGGACGAAACATAAGTCAATACAGAATTACAAAGTTTGATATCAGGCAAATTATTCAGCCTAAACTTTTTATTCTGGATACACATACAAACAGATTTTTTCGAATTGTACCAGCCAGTGGTTTTCAAACGGTGGGGTGCGTATCACAAGGGGGGGCAAAGACAATTTTTTTGAGGGGGCATGAAGCTAATTAAAAATTGCCCGCCTTATTTTGGATACTCAAATTTCAAAACTTTTTATTTATTTCATTGTAATTTTAACAAGTTTTTTGATTGAAACATACTTTCGCCTCAATATTTGTTATTTGTAGCTTATTGTTAGTTGGTTATTTTTGAGGGGGGGGCGCGAAATTTTATAAATTCTAAAAGTTTGAGAACCACTGTTTTAAGCAATAATAATTAATAATAAGATAAAATAAACTGTTTATTATTACAAATTTTCTTGTCATCGAACATTATCTAAATCTATTTGAATAGGTTTCTCACCAAAATAATAACAAATAAGTACCGGTACAGCGGTACTGCGAGAGACCATAGAATAGGTAAGGAAAATATAAATTTATTCTTATGATAAAAGCATTTCTAATTTAGAATGTCAAAATGAGAAAAAATAAACTATTTAACATCAAGGACGAACCGAAATAATTCTTGCCAGTACTACATTTTAGACACCAGCTAGATCACCACGTTAGCGACTAAATTTGCAAGACACAGGTATAATATAGAACAATAAAAAGTTTCGACATACCTCGGCTCATTGTCTGATTAGACATCTCGATTACGATACATTGATATTCGAGAAATCAAGAAAAATGCAGAAAGTCTGCCTAATTCTAGCAAAACCACAGCAAATAAGATAGTTTTCTGCAAAACCGCCCATTATAATACAAGCAAAAGATGATTTCTAAGTTCTGCACCGGGGAACTCCCCCGAAGTTGGTGATCGAAAGTAGTTTCGAGGTAGCGATTGAGTTTTTCTCTCATTTTCTGTGTATAAATTACGAATAAAAGGGTGCAATATTACAGAAGAAACTAGTTTCGTGATAGTTTACCCAATGAGGGCAAATAAATAATGCCTTCATTTGTGTTGCATAATGACCCACACGCCAAGGTTATGAGAAATAATATGTTGCGTCGTCCCATGCCCGACTTTGGCTAATATCCAAACAGAAAATTTACACAATCCTATGAAAATAAATATTAAAATCTGAAGTCATTTAACGCCATGAAAGGGTGAGATATGATAAGTTTGCTCTGTTCTGAGAACTTGGCATTTCACCAAAGTTCGAATTTCTCTCTTTCCGGGCATGTGAACGGGGTAAAGTAACAACACGATGTTTACCAATTTCTATTTCACATAGACATTTCTACATCTTATACAGGCTGATTACTGATGAAAAATTGTCAATAAATATTTGCTTCGACTGAAAGAATAAAAGGAATGAACTGTAGCGAATGTGGATTGTAACAATTGACTTCAATGTTATTTAACCCATTTGTATTAATAGTAGGTGAATTCAATGAATAGGTCAATGCTCTGTTTCTCTGGTAAAATTTCTTTGTATCGAGCCATTCGTCACGTGTTTCCGGCCTTCTTTCGGGAGTTGAGAATATAGGATTTTTCGTGTGTGTTAATTACTGCTTTATGTGTGTTAATTACTGCTTTGGATTGCAACCGTTTAACTGTGTTTAACTTAACTGTTTGGGTGTATATTTCAATATATCTGTTATTTGGATTCATTTCGATTGTGCAACTTAACAATATACGAACATTTGGCATTACAATACACGTGTGCTTATTGACCTCTGAAGGAGTGCAGATCGGGGTTACACTCTGTTAACGTGTGTTTAATAACACGTGAGTGCGAACGCGCAGGGTATGGTCATTTAACTCCTATAGAGCTATATCGTGTACACTGTAGAGCTTGGAGGAAAATGCAGGCGAAGAAAACTTCTCGATGCAAATTTAAGTGGAACAAGTTTTTTCTCAAATGGGACCCGTCTGCTTACGAAACGTTTGATAAATTCTTTTCAATTTTTTGAATATTCGGAGTTCGTTGGAGCCGCTTGAATGCTATCGCTTTTATTTATTTTTGTTCCAAATATTTTCCTACGGGAGTCTCATACAGTCCTATTCTGTTTCACGGAAACATTTTTTGAAAATATAGAAACCCTTCCGTCACGCTTGTCCGCCATCTCAACTAGACAGCTAAGGCCTTATCGATACGCGATCTTCGTGTCCATGTGCTGATACTCATGCATTAAAATATGCTAAGCTTGCCATGCTATAGTTACAGAAAAAAGAATCTTGCAATTGTATTTTATGCAATTTTGAATGAATATATACTATATAGGTATGGAGTTATTTTGGCCAACGTATCGTTTAAATTAGAGTAATTTCATCCGAATTTACGCTGTTTGGCGTAGTCGTTCACATTCGTTTCCATATGTTCGAGTATTGCTTTCTTGTTATTATTATTGCAAAAACTAAGTTCAGCTACTAAACCATAAATTATTACTCGAGACATTAGATCATAATATCATTAGAAGTAGGCGTTTGGTCTCATTGCGCCGTATTCAAGCTGGCTTTTGTACTATATTAATTAAAAATGAGGAGTCCATAAGTTTCCGCAATTGGCCCGCTAATGTTCTTGTGCTATAGAAGTAGAACCTAGAGCGGTGGTGGGCAATCACTTTTCCGAGTGGGCCAGTTACAAATAATATTCTTGGTTACTGAGCCGTATGCTCAAAACTCAATATAAAACCATGAATAAACAAGAGAGCTATGCTCAAATATATGGGCACGTAGCGCCACCCAATGGCAATAATTTTGATGACGTCATAGCAAAAAAAAAGTAATAGACTTCTGAGGAAAATTTTTATCTTTAACCACTGAAAATTTCAAAGCAGTTGGTCCAGTAATCAAAGAGAAAAGCGACTTTTTAAAAACGTGTCAAAGAACAAAAACAACAACATAAACTATCGCTATGTCCACTACGTGTCCAAAAACAGGTCATTTACAAATAACTAGCGTCACAGCTAATGTAGGCTACAACAAACAGCTAGTGTACCAAGTGGCACAATTATATATACCAAGTATAGGGTTGCCAACTTTGTGTTAAAACATTCCGGGACACCTTAACGACTAGAATTTGAAAATTGATGAAACAAAAGCCTGTGAATCACGAAAGACATCAAAAGAAACAGTGTGAGCTGTGCGTCGAAGAGTGATCATCCCGCGGCGTTATTTTCATAAATTCAAGCCTCTTAAATAATTTAAACTCAATCAAAAAAACTTGAATGTTGAATCTTTGAGGCATAAATACAAACGAATCAATCTAATCCAGTGAATCTCAAACTTTTAAAGCCGCGATCCCTTCCTATAATTTAGCAAGTCTCGCGCTCCATCTCAAAAATAACTAGCTCACAATAAGATACAAATAACAGATAGTAATGCGAAAGTGTTTTATTCAAAAAACACGTTGAAAATGCGCGGACGGAAAGTAAATATCCAAAATAGGGCGCTAAGGGCGGGCAAGATCAAATCTAACAAATATTTTTATTGTTAATTAGATTCACGCCCTCTCAAAAAATTGTCTACGAGCTCCCCCCCCCCCCCCCCCTTGTGGGCCGCGCCTCACCGTTTGAGAACCACTGATCTAATCCTATGTTCACCTTTACCCTTTTTTCTTTACTTGCTTTTAACCGACTCACAGCTGCAGTACCGCTTTGAAACTACTTGCGTTTTTTTAATTGATATACCAAATTGAATGATGCTCTCAAATTAAGGTGACTGCTGTATATATGCAATCCATTTTGCAATTGTTTTAACAAATTTGATTGTTATGTCACCAGAAAGTCATGGTTGGCAAAACATGTCTTATCGACAAGTTTCAACTCACTTCTATTTGAATGACCCATACAGATATTTGCGTGAATTACGGTACAAGCCCGGGACGCCAGACGTCAATTCCGGGACTGTCCCGGCCATTCCGGGACGGTTGGCAGCCCTAACCAAGTAGCAAATTATATTCCGATGCAGATAATTTGTTGGGAATACGGTTTATATTTTAGCCAACGGTTCGTCATTTTCAACGAAAATTTATATCTATAAAAACTATAGTCGTAATTTCTACAAGCACAAGTGAGCTGGATGAAACACTTCGGTAGACCGCAATTTGCCCACCCCTGGCCCACCCTCAATCTTTTTTATGCTAGATATTCGTTCGCAAAATCGTTATTGTGGAAGTTATCCATCTAAATCGGATAAACTTTTGAATGCGTAGTAATGATAATATATCACTGATATATCAATAAAACAAGATTTAAGCAATTCCGTTAGCCAAACACTTTTTTAAGCGATTGTTTTGCACAGTCAAACACCTGATGCGGGATAGCATTTAGCAAATTAAGAACATTGTAGCATATAAGAACACATTGCATATTAAAAGAACATGTTGTTGAACGTTGTTGATGTAGTTTCATGTTGTAAATATACAAGAAGAACAAACGATGAATACAACATTAGAACATCGAGAGACGTGACGACACTTATCAAAACGACTTGACTCCTAATACAAGACCTTTCAATACATTACTTTCAAATATCCAATTGAAACCATATTTATACGTATGTGCATATCGTGATATCGATTCCATTAGGGTTATCGATTCGGGTTGGGAATACTAATTAGCAATTTCCAGTCTTTTTAATGTATTTTACCTAAAATAACGAATTTATCCCTAAATATATCTACGCCGTTTGGATCGGTGATCGGGGTTTTGAGCATATTTGTCACCTAGCGTTTATACGTAAATCAAAAAAAAAACATTGAAAATGACAAAAAACACAATTGAAAAAAATATATATATATATATACATACTGAAATTCAAAAATATGGGACGAGAAGATTTGAGAATGAGAGGGAAGTAAGATGAGAGTAGGAGTGTAGATTAGAAAAGAAAAGGCGATTTATTGTTTTTTAAATTTGATTGCGACAGATAAAACTGATCTTTCAATCCAATATACTTCGTCACACTGAAATACTGATCGCTCATGTTTTCGAATAACCCTAGTTGGCTGAAAATAGCGCTTTGTAAGTTGGCTTGTTGCGATAAGTTGATAATGCCAGCTTCGGGCTTTGAAAAAATATAAAATAGCGCTTTGTTTGTTAAAAAATTGTCATATACTCGTTTTTGACGAATATTTCGATGAGCTCATATATGCACCGTTCTTATAACGATGTTATAAACGTTTAAGAGAGTGAAACATTTGAGTCATCTTTTAAAAATAGCTCAGTGTTAATGAAATCTATGTAATCGAAATAGTTTGCATCAAATTTTAATTAATATGAATGACAAGAATTTTGAAATCGAATATTCACCTTCATTGCATAATCAATTGGCCATAAGAATAGTTGCAATTTGAGTAGACACTCTATGTCTGTTTTCAAGCAATTCCTAGAAATTAAGATCCGAAATAATATCGCCTAAGAAGTTAAAGAAAAACTATAGGCTATGTTACTATCTGCGGTAGTCCGGTATATTGAAAAAGTTTTTCAGCATGATGATTTCTTTGACTTGGGCAGTTTTTTGTGCTTGTATACTATCATTTTAAGCTATATAAATTGCTAATTTATTTTTTGCAATTTTGTTTAGTATTCAAGTTTTTTGCTTGATATTTATCATGTTTTCTATGATTTTCGTCATTTTGTTCTGTAAATTTAGAAAAATAAGAGAATAATTCAGGTGGTTTGTAGACTAATATGATATGTAAAGTTAATAATGTCCCGAGCAGATGTTCAAATTATCTATCGAAACAAGAAATTATTGCCCCATCTAACATGAACACTACAATATTTTTGTCATTTTATTGCATTTTCCTTTCCGATTTTATATGTAACTGCAATACCTAATATTTTTTCTGCCAATATGTTTGGTATTTTTTTTATACCAATTTCTTTTTATTTCTATGTTAAGTTTCCTTATTTTTTCATCTTCAAGTCATCCATACTTAATGAAACTAGCCTAAAAAATACTACAATCACAATTTCTTAAATCATTGTAATCATATATTTTTGGCGCATTTACTGCAAAAAACATGGAGTCATGTTTTTGAAGGAATTCGTCTGCTTTACAAATGCGTCTTTCTAACAAAAATAAACGAATTGTTTCAATCGAGCATTGACTGATTGAGCATATACTATATGTAAAGATAGTACTATTTATTACGTAATTTGTCTACAAATATCTTATTCATTTGGGGCACGTTTTCCAAAATGAAAAAAAAATCATCCCTGGCAAGTAACTTTGTCCTTTTGAGGAGGAATTGGCGGCTTTGTATTTGCTGTAGCAAAACTGATTTTCCAGAGTTTGTTATGCCTAATATAATGCAATGCACACATTCAATTAGAAATACTGGAACTGTATAAAATCGTTTTTTCAACCGGGACACTAGACAAAGATCTAAGGATTAAATTAATACAGTAGTTTTTATTCATAGTTAGGGAAGAATAAAAAGAAGTAAAGATTTGATAAGAGAGAAGTTTAACGAAAAAGGTTTGAAATCACATGACTTTTACACCTACAACTTATTCATCAAATGTTTTGTCCACATGTACAATATGTATTTTGTCCACATGTATCCCATTTATCATACATACCATTTAACAGATGTTTTGTCCATCAATAGCTCATTCGTGAAATCTTTTCTTTTCTTACTCGTCGTTCAGGGGTTTTGTACACATACATCTGGATAACCAGATATTTTGTCCATATATATCTCGTTTCCCTGATGAAACAACAGCTCATTCGCGAAGTCGAAGTGTTTTCTCTTCATACATTTCGTCCAGGGGTTCTGTCCACATTTATCTCATTCGCCGGATATTTTGTCCATGTGAATCCCGTTTATCATACATCTCATTCACCAGATATTTTGTCTATATATATTTCGTTTCGCCGGTTGTGCTTCATTAATTATCAACATGAGTTTACCTGGTGGCAATCATGCATTATTGAGTTGGCTCCATGTCGCGCATCCTGTAGATTTGTCATTTGATGTCGCACGCCCTATATATCATCCATCGGACGTTGATTTCCAGTTTTTGGATAGATCGTACACATCTGCCGAACCATATCGGTCTATGGTTATAAAAATCCAGTCTTTATATTTCCGGTAGACAGTTCTGAAGATTTGATTCACATACCTGTTTAAGTGATAGAGAAGAGAGGAATTCGATGAATGACAAAGAAACCACACTGTTCCCGCCTGTGTATTTAATCATTGTTTAAAGTCCCTTTTTTGTTTGAACTTGCGCTAATTTGTTTATTTGTATATATTATCTTATCATCATCCCTTTAGATTAGAGTTGACGCCATGGTAATTTTTTCATATTTTCCTTTTTTCTTTTTCTTGATCTATATATATCCACTTGTGTTCTTTCCATATCATGCACTGATAAAGTTTTTCTGTATAGAAATTCGAAACTTCGGCAAATAACATCGTTTTGCTAACACCGGCTGTGCTTCATTTATTATCAACATGGAGCCAACTCATCAGTCACCACAAATGGTAGCTGAATTTCATCTTAGCAGTGCCCGATACGCAAGCACCGCTGTACAAGAAGCTTGTGCTTTGTCCGACGCAAATCGCCTCATGATCATCGAATGGTTGTTATTTCTACCCATGTACCAGCTAAATTGGCCAATATATTTATTTCGGAATTTTGCGATTTTTAAAAAAATATAAGTAATACCATCCTAAATTCTCATTCGCCAGATATTTTGATATATATATTTTGTTTCCCTCATAAAACAGTCGCCATGATTATTCGCTCGTTAAAAAAACGATTTGTGAGTGAGACTTGTCTGTTGCGTATAATTTTCAATCCATGCTAATTAACTTAATTATGACTAACGTAATTCGCGTTACGACTTTTAAATACAGTGCTACTCTAAACAAAACAAATGTAATATGTGGATGACACATGAGATAAACTGTCTAATTATATTTTATTTTGATAGGTATCTTTGCAATCTTGTTAATTCGTTATCGCCATAAGGAATCCGTATTTTTGCCATTTTGCAGATTAGAGAAAACTGTACTTGTAACTCCGATCCGTTCAATCGCAATGCTGCCACTCGGATTATTTTTAAGATATAACCGTTATTATCTCACGACGTAAAATCTATTTTAGTACAATGATAGTCGATTGGAATATTTAATTTATCATCATAATTAATTTACCTTTACAATCCGCGTCGCGTTTACAACTTTGTATAATGATAACACTGAAACTCTCGGCAGCAATATAAAGAAATGGATAAAAAGGCAAATCCAACACGCAATTTTTTTATTTTATTCAAGTGATGGTATGGTTTCCAACGTTAACTAACTATAGTACCAAAACAATCGACCTTTTTAGCAAAATGCAAGCGGTATTAGCGACAAGTGGGTCATGTGGTACAAGTGGTGCACGTGGGACAAGTGGTACAGGTTTTTAATTATTATTATTTGATTGAAAGTAACACGGACCGATATAAAATTAAAAGCATAAAAAAGTCGATTAGAAAAATAATAGGATTTGGCTACTGTGGGTGGTAAAATAAATAAATATTTAGCCTACTTATCGTATGAAACTGATACATAGTTACGTGCGCAGGATTTTATGTCAATGTCACGTAATGTTTTATATTTTAAACATCGGAAAATCCACTAATATTCGATTGATATATTTCTTTATAATTAACATGTAATATTAAAAATTTGGCAGCAAAATTACTCAAAATGATTGAGCCAGTTTGGCTGATAAATGACTAAAAACAGGTCAGAATCAGACACCCGTTTCTACTAGCGGGGGTGGGGACGTGCATGGTTCTTAGTTCACGATCTATCCAAGCAAAAAATTCCAAAATCAGTATTCTAACCTATTTTTTAAAACATTCTGGATCATATTGAGAAGCTAAATATATCGGAAATATCGGTCTAAATTTAGCCGATACCGATACACAACCGATACCAAAAATTTGGCCGATATTGCTAATACATCCCTAATTAAGACCTCAATAACGCGGCTGGTGCCGGTACAAATTTACACACGTGGCGGCATGATTCAAAAAACTGGCAACTGACTTTCTCTTAATTCCTTTGTGCCATTTAGTGCTCAACCTTCAGTGTGATGTAACAAAAACTTGGAATCGTGATCTGTATGTAAATCATGTTTAGAAAAAAAGGTCATAATCAAAAAATTGAGCAAAAATGCATTTTTTAAAAAAGGCTTGGATTCGATTAAAAAAAAGAGTAACAAACGTGAAATATTGGGACATAAAATTTCAATGGATAATCGAAGGCAATGTGAATCATAAAAGCAATAAATGGCATGTCTTTATACCGAGGCAATATATATATATAGTATGAAATCTTGCACCTATAATCAAGCGATTAGAAACTTATTTTTATACAAGATCAATTGGTTTCACAGTACGTATAAATTTTACAGTATTACAAACTAAAAAGCTGAAAACTTGAGAACAGTACATTAAGAAAAGATCAGTAAATATCCTAAATGTGTATTTCATACACTAAGCACACATCTTCAATGAGTTCACACAATAATGAGTCAATATATGTACTTAAAATTTGAAGTATTGTAATAAAATGTAAATGAAGAAAGTAGATAGGCAAATTGGCATGTAAATTGTATCATTTCTGGTCAATTTGTATATAGCTTTATGAGAGATTAAATTACATATCTGATAAGAAAATATCTTCAATTACACAAAGTATTTGGAACAGAAAGACTGTTGGTTATTCATTTCAATAGGAATTGGGTGCAAGTTGTTCACTTATGTCGAAAAAAAAGACAAAAAAAAGACAAGACACAAGGCAACTGTTGTGTATTTGTGTATAAATATGAAAAATGGTAATAGTCATGTATGATCAATGCAATGATTCGACAAGTTTTTTCATAATTAGCAAATCCCTTCTCCATTCCTTACAGATATTACATTTCACAGCAGTTTGGTATCTTAAAAAAAACTTTTCTTTATGACTGATATAATTGGCAAGTTCTTTTTCACTTTTGAACAAAGTCATCCCAACATTGTGTAAAGCCCAGGCATATGCATTTGGATATTTATCACATTGATATTCAATACCATAACCATGGTGATCAAAAGCACATTCAAAAGCTTCCAGTGCAGTTTCATATTTTCCAACAGCTGCATAATATTTCCCTGCTTGAACTATGCAATTTGAAGCAACAACAAAATATTGAACATTCTGTTTGGCTAAGTTAAAAAATCGGTCACATTCTAGCATCTGATTAGTGACTTCTTTTACACTTGCAATATGACGCCTTTTGTGTAACTTGGTGTTTGCTTTGACTAGGAATCGTAGCAAATTCATATTGGAATATGCCGTTCCATACACTCTCTTGTACAGACCATGTTCATAGAAACGTTCTTTACCATCAGTCAAACTTTGTGCATACTTTCTGGCAGCTTCAATCCTTGCAATGAATGATGCATCATCTTCATTCAAGCAATTGTTAAGCATTCTAGGTAGTTTACTGTTTGCTTTCAGAAGATATCTAAACAAGGAAGATATACCAGTGTCACAAAATAGATTCTCGCTAAGATATAAACCAACGTCAGAATACCACTCATAACGATTTTGCTCTTCTTTCGAAATAGAGTTCTGTAAATACAACACTTGTCGACTACGTGTATGAAGCACAGACATCAACCTTTCACAGATATAGACACTTTTGATTTGCTTTGGATTTAGCAGCATTTTCTCTCGTTCCAATTGACGAATATGGTCACTGTTCAAATGCCCATCAAGTCTTAATGCAGTAACCATGTCTTCCCAATCCAATTTAGACTCATTTCCAGCGCTTTCCGCCATCACTTTCAAATGGTTTTCTGTGATAGGAAAAAGTTTCGCCCAATTTTGTAATATAAATACATCAGGTATTTTTTTATTTGCTTCTTTTATTATTTTATAAATCTTTTTTGCGGTAACTGCAGGATCCTTTTTTGGAGTATACTTGAATAAAGTTTCTCTTTTGTCTTTTTTGGTATTGAAAGCACAGATGACATTTGATAGATAATTAGTTGCTTTTTCCAGGTCTATATCTTTTGTGTTTAAATGTCTCTGAACAACAAAACCAAGCACTTCATACATTCTAGCAAGTCCAAGCTGGATGTCAAAATCATTCTGTTTCATAGATTTTCCAAGAAAATCACCTTTTAGTAATTTTTTAGCATGGGAAACAACACTATCCATATGATTTTGCAAGCTAAAAAGCAAGTTACTATCAGTGCGATATCGATTTTCTTTTTTAATGAGACTCGCAATAGATTGTAGAACATCCATAAGAATTCGTTGCTTTTTCTCATTGGGTATGTAAAGATGTATTGCAAGCAGTATGTCTTTATGGGTAGAAATAAGTTGTTCACCGTAATCAATTTTATCTGAAAAACTATGCACATCCATATCACAGTCATCTTCAAGTCTAGCTTTTAGACATTGAACCATCCTCTGTTCTTCACGAAAGACCATTGGTTGGACTTGTTGAAAAACTTGCCAAGTAAATAATCAGAAATGTTTTCATTATTCAAGAATGACATCATTTCTATTACCAAAAATTGCAAATCTTCTTTTTCAACTTTACTCCTTGGTCTTAATGCTTTCATAATGACCTCATATCCATGGCATTTTGCTAAATCTGGATGAAGGTTCAGAATTTCCTTCTCTTTTTCAATTACTGTTTCATCCTTCCCAAGGCCATCAAAATAAGACTGATACGATTCCCTATATTTACGACAGTAGTTTTTAGCAAGAGTAAGTCTGAGTGGAGAATAGGCGAGTGCCTCTGCTAACTGCTCAGCTCCCTTTCTGTTTATGTTCCCAGTCGTGAGGAAAGCTACTGCTTCTGGCTTTATAAATCCATTTACTCTTTTTGTGTAGTAGTAATTCATAGCATCAATATCCTCTTCAGTGTATAAAACATCTTTTCTCGGAGATGCAATGAGTATTTGCAAGGATTGAGTGGCTTGAGTACTTAAACTCTGGACTAAACTGCGAGCCAGCACTTTTTCATCCTCAGTAATATCCTCTATGACAAGTAGTATTTTCACGTGTAACGTGGTTAGTTTATTTACAAGAGTCTTTGTGCGATTGTTCTGCAGTTCTTCAAGTAATGTTCTTCTAAGAATTACATCTATTATACTACAATCATCAAGCTTATCTATGAGTCTTTCAAGACCCAGTTTGAGCAAATTACTTCCATCTTGGCACTGCATATGCCATAACAAATAAGATCTATTACTCTCATCAAGTACTTTACAAATTCCACGAACAATCTGAGATTTTCCTGTTCCAGACATACCATGAAGATGTATAATTTTATGTCCATGTTCAAGTTGATCCAAGATTTCTTCAAAGACAATTGTTTTTTGAAAAGTAGGACGAGGTGGTGTGTATTGTCTCAATTCTTGAGGAGTGTGCAAAATATTTGGTGCTAGTTTTGTTCCTTTTAGTTCTTTTCCCTTACCAGTAAAGGAATGAGATTTACCAGTAACCCCCAAATCATATAATACTGTGGGAAGAATGCTGTCACAATTGTTTGAAAAATCACCAATACCTATCAACAAATAGAATAGTATTCAATATATCCAAACATTTCATAATGTTATTGTAAGAAAGGACAAAGAACATTTTCAATACCTTTACTCTCATCAAATCCACATTTATTAGACAAATGGTTCTGGTGAGACTGTGTTAAACAACAAGTACATTTTTTGAATGGCTGACGTTCTGAAAACATATTTCAATCACGAAACTAAAATACAAAATTGAATCGATAATATAGGATTTACATATTTATCCCACAGGAGAGGAAAGCCAATAAAACGGCTTAATCATATGGCGAACCACAGCCTCTCGTCCGGTTACCAGTCCATGTCAGGTATGGGATCCGCTAGATCAATTATTATAATGCCTAATGTGGTTATAAATATTAACATTTTCAGAAGTATTGGAATATATTCTGAATCCGCTCATTTTCGGATTAGTTATTTATATTATTATAATAATCCAGCAAATTTTTTTTACACAAAGCTCATTCAGGCCTTTTACCCCGAACAAGTGGCAACTGATATCTAATAATTTGTAAGGAGGTACTATTTTTAAAAGCGAAATCTTTGCGGTTTGGTATTGCCCACCCAATTTATTACACCCTTTGTAGGCATGGGATTTGAACCTGAAAAGGATGGATGCATTGTATGCCACATACCATGTTGGTTCTCTTGATTTCCAAGACCTAGACAAACATTGCCATGGAATGCATTGAACTCTTGATATGAATTATGAACTTTAGGAATAGTTTTGCTTGATTGCCTTCCATCAGCAGATCCAGATACGGCGGCTATACCATTTGGAAAAGTAACAAAGTGAATTTATCAATATCATTGGAGGTTGAAAAAGAAGCAGCAAATTAATTCATATAACGTATATATAATAGCATTCTTGTTGTGGAATATAACATAGAAAGTTTTTTTTTGTTAGTAGTCGGAAATAAAAGACTTCTCTAAATATATGAGTGTGGTAAACCACTGGGAATTTTGCGTTGGAAAGTCCCAAGGGTAATAGAATTTCCAGTACCTTCTCTTGATTTAAACCAAATAAGCAATCAATCAATTTAACAGGAAGGATTACGTAACTTGTGTACTTAGTTTGGGATCTATGGTGCAATAAGCTGACTTGAAACTTTTGCGTCACAATCATTTTGATTCATAATAGATAGTGTACTGTTTCAAAACAGCCCTTACTCTCAAGGTATTTTGTTACATTCGATTAGTAAATAGTAAATGCCCAAGTAAGATATCTGTATTATAAGGTATTTCGTATACCATATGATATAAATTTGGTATACCATGGAAGATATTCAAAATAATGATAAAAATATTTTGAAGCATATGAAAAACATAAAGGAAGTACAATGAGATGAAATTTTTTCAACTGTGTCGTAAACAAAAATATCTTAATACACAAAATATGATTATTCATAACATTTGTTCGATTGGGTCACAAAGTAAAAGTAATTCATTGAAAATCAAATGAACGGATGGATTGGATAGTGCAGCATAAATATAAACTGGTTGAAATCCATCCAATGTTATTTAGGTGTTCACGTAGTTTTTGTTTTTATTGAAAAAATTTATGTTTCCATGCTTAATTGTATATGATATGTGTCTCAGACATCACATATCCTTTGTTATTAAATTAGAGTACTAGCCAAATACTATTCACATTATCTGTTATCGAACTTGAATACTCAGAGTCAGTGTCTTTATATTTTAACTACCGTACATTTAATCATTTACTTGATATTGGCACCATGAGGACGCTTAACATTGTATATGAAAATGCAAGTAGGGCAAATAACGGTAATGTCTACCGCTGCTAAATGTGTGAAAATAAAAATATTGTCATTGGAGTAAAACAGTGAATAAATATTGGGATAACAGGTTTATCCATGCCAGTCTATGAGTTCAGAACAAACACTTTAGAGATAATAAAAAATAATCCAAGATGATGTGATAGTAATAGTGCTACCAATACAAGAATAACTTTCACTTTTTCAGATCACAATCAACCACTTCACAATCAACTACTACACAATCATTAGACTTAATAATAATTGAAACTTACGAGTATACATATACAGAGTGTTCAAAAAGTCCTGTTACAATTTCAAATTTGTCGTGAAATTAATTCTCAATATATCTCAACAACGTTTCTTTTATTTAGGTATTGTACTTCATTTAATACACCTGTATGGCTCAACAAACTATATATGGTATCAATAAATTCATGTTGCAATCTAAAAATTATACAACTATATGAACACCCTGCATATCTCTATTCATTAAAAATTGTTACCCTACACACAATAATATACCAGTACCTATTTTAAAAATCTGTGTGTGCATTAGGAAAAGTTTAGAGTAATTCAAAGGTTTTATGTGAGCTACAATAATACATGGAAATGTTTGATTAATGAAAATCCTACTAATTTTACTGATTTGTTCAAAAGGAATGGAGAAATCCCAATTTCTTTGAGAAAATAAAATCATATATTCAATTTCTGTTTTCTATTTGTCAATAGTTCTATAATTTGAGAAATTTGGCAATCTGTAAACACTTACCGGTAATACAATGTAATTACCTTTAGCCGGTATTTCCTCACAATTTTTATCACCAATTTCTTTATTCATTTTCTGCTCAGCCTCAGTGGCCACATTACTGGACGTGAGTCCCGAAACTTCAGAAGACAAGACCTCTAAAAGATGCGCAAGTCAAGGATATTTTAGTAACATAGATATTATAATCTGCCCTTTCATTGGCTGAAGTTGTGATTAAAAACATGATTTTTTCTAAATCCGTGATTCAATTTGTAGATAAAAACAAAATCAGAATGGATTCTGAAACAATTCAAAAATTTCATAGAAAAGCTTGGCGATGTGCCGCATCATACTGAGCGTTAGGAATACGCTTGCCACTGCACCTCTGACTACCCTGCGTGGGTTCGCAGATTCGAATCCCATGCGAGGATAATTATGTGCAAGATTGCTGAACTCCTCACCGCCGCATAGTGGTTCACCTAACCGCTGGTCAGTTGCGGCTTCCTCCACCATCAAGTCCATGCATCAGAAAACAAATAAATGGCTAACTAATCCCATACCCAACATGGAATAGTAACTGGACAAGAGGTCATGGCTCTTTATATGTTTATTCTATCATATCTGCTTTCCTCTTCCCTGGGATAAATATGTAACTCCTACCCTTATGGCTAATAAAAACGATTTGATTGATTAGTGGTGGGGGAATAGCACGATAGTATCGAAAATTCTCATTAATAAATACGACATATACAAAATATAGATGAGTTAAAGATGACTAGCAAGTTACTTTGAGACAAAAACATTTATTACTGAAATTGTACCTGGCCCTGGTGTAAAGTTAGTCTTAACACATTCTTCATTGTTTTGATTGATCTCAACATTACTCAGGGAGGAGATCTCCAATGATGACATATAAGCTTCGGTTTGTGTTGGAAGTATTTTGAAATCTTCTAAAAAGAAAAAGAGTCATAAAATGTATTCACTGTGCATGCTGCTAGAATCACGTTTTATACAAGGTTCCTTATATACTAGAGAATTTAAAAAACTAAAACAACATGTATAATTACAAATGCATACAATATACATGAAAATTGGACCACAAATGAGGGCATCACAAAGAATACAGAAATAATACTACTGTTAGAAACAAGCCGATGTATGCTGAAAGCACCAGACCAGATATCAAGATTTGTTTTCAAATATTTCAGAATGAAGTTAGTGGGTATATAAGTTGGGGAAGATTTCCTATCAATAACTGGTAGAAAAAGGGCATAACAAAATATTGAATACTTGCATAGTTGTTACAGTGTTGTAGTTTATCATATAATTCAGTATATTCACACTTCTTTCCTCTTAGCATAAAAGTAACAATATTATCCGACTAAATTCAAATATGTACATTTTATTATTAAAAATTTATACCCAGGACATTTTGATTTTCTATCAACTGTGATGAAGAACTTGATGAAATCTGTAATGATGTAAGCGAATCATCCTCTCCTAAAACAATAGTACACGAGTCTTCAGCAGCTGAAAAATAAGCAGTTATATATATATTATTTTACAGTATTTTACTAATGTTGCGATACTGTATTGCTTGTTGCAGCATGATATGGTTAATTTACTCAGTGGTGGCATGAACTCTGAATATACTCATTGCGGGTCTAGAGTAAAGAATGAAGGTTCTATAGTGATGGAACAGCCAGCATGTTAATATGTTTATGCTACCTATGTGATTAGGTGCTTACGATGAACAGGTACTTCCCATGACAGAATCGTCACTATACTACATCTGTAAGTTAAATTTCCCAGTTAAATCAACACTTACAAAAGCACTACAAACATGGGAAAGATAGGGAAAATAAGACTGCCAATTCCTTTAATGATATTTAAACACCCTATAATGAGCATGCTAATATATTTACGAAATGTTTGAACAGACAAAGACACTTACACCATTTTAGTATTTCACTACCTCAGTACTTGGGGTCCAGTCAACGTGGTACCACATTTAGGTCAGATGACTGAAGAATGCCCTTCTAACCCAATTCGGCAAGTGCAATAATTCTCTAGTCATTTGCACTACGCCTTTACCCCCTCTGTCGGCCTTTGGTTATAGCTATCTTGCATATTGTCATTTCTTATGTCAATTTTTCCTTATCAGGAAAGAATTGTGTCATTTTGGGGGAAAAACTTTTGTGGTATTTGTTGTAGTGTTACTAATGTTCTTTACTTCTTTATTCTGTTATTATTACTAGAAGTTAATCCTCATTTATGAAAACATAACAAACTACTTGCATATAACATTAGATGAGGACTCATTGAAGATTGAATGAACAAAATACTCTTTATGCATAGCAGCATAGGGAAGAATAAAGGGTTCCAAAATAATCAAAGCACCACTGTTTTATGCTAATGCTGTAATGGCAGAATAGAGATCTTAATTATATCAGAGGGTCCAAATATGCAGCACCAAGTTATACAAACACTACAGTAGCTCAGGACAGCAGGGCGGCTCAAAATAGCAAAAGAACGTGCGCTAATTATATAATCTGATAGTGTTACTTACTTAGCGCACATTTCCCCTGGGCGATACTCTGTCCGTAGGCTTGTATTGCTGGATCCATTTAATCCCAGACAATTCTTTACATCGGCGCAAGCGTTCAAAATTCAAAAATATTCCATGGCTTGAATACCGAGCATAAATATGCCAGACAGCCATATTGAATGGGGATTTTCTATGTCGTTGATATTGAACAAGTTGTACATGTAGGCGTTGAGGTGTGTTGAGGGCGTGGGCGCCCACCGATCCACATACAGAGGTATGCAAGCGGTTGTGTAGGCGGTAAAATGTAGCGAAAAGTACCTCGTGAAATGCGGCCATTAATCCCAGTGCAATAGACTTCCATATTAATATTTAATCAAACATTCTTATATTTATTTAAGGCCTTGAAGATTTTTAATATTACTTCCTCTTTTTGTTAATTGTCCCACCTGGTATTTTTTGGCACAGTTGATTCAATTAAACCCCCCCACTGGCATCTTCGTCGCATTTATCAACCAAAAAAATAACTGAGCTTATCTTTGGCCACTCAATACGGGCCCCATTAATTATCTTTTTACCTTTGCCCGGCTTTTAGTGAACATCGGTTCTTAATAATTATATTTCTGCTTCTGCAGTAAGTACCGTGGTCCGTGTTTCCCCGAAAATAACACCTCACCTGAATTTTAAAAATGAGTTTAATAAAGCCCTCCCCTTAAAATAAGACCTAGTCAATAACGCGATTTTTTTTTTGACCTAGTCGATAGTAAGAAATCTCTCCTACACGTTTTAAATGATTGATAATATATGTTTTGCAGTTATTTTGAATAAAAACGTGTTATTTATAAGTAAATTGATATCGGTTTTCATATTTTGTATGTTCAACAATCTCGTAATTTTGTTTTTGCTAAATGAAAATATAAGACATCCCCCGAAAATAAGCCCTAGTGTTATTTTTCGGAAGAAAATTGAAATTAGACCCAGTCTTATTTTCAGGGAAACACGGTAACTCTCAAGGGGTCATTCTTCTTTCCACTACCCATAATATGCCATTCCCTGCCCGGTGATGAAAAATGAGACTTGTGTTTTATTTAAAATAACCATAATTTAATGACTAAAATGAAAAACAAATATCAACATCAGAGAAAAGTCCCTTTCGCAAGTGGTTGAAAGTGCAAGGCATACAAAGAATTCACTGCAAATAATAGAACGTTTTGGTGAACAAATCAAAACTTAGGTTTTATACTTGGCTGGCCATATAATTGAAAAATATAGATTACAAACACATAAATTTACTTACACAAACCGAATTTGTCAATATTCAAATAAAAATCGTGATAGTAAAAAAAAAAGAAAGCAAATGCTGGACTTCTAGTTTACAAACGGGTTTTCATTGCTGTAACAGGTTGTTTAAAATCATCAAGGCTGCCTTCACAAAATTTGAATCTTTTATTTCCGATTGAATACCAAGTAATGAAATCTGAATTCTGACACAAATATGGATTTAACACACGTTTAAACAATAAATAGAAACATTTTAAGACTTACTGCTGACTACAGAAAACATGCAATGATAGCAAGCACCTATTTTATGCATGAAATTTTAATAAAAAAGGTAAAACCAATGGTGTAACAACTTAAATTATTGAAAAATAAAACATGTTCAATCGATGAATAAACGCTGCTGGTAACTATGGCACAATAAAAAGACAAATAATCAAGCTATGTATTGACTTGGACTTTTCCCAATGAATAAATATTTTGGACAATTCGGTATCATGTAAATATTGTAAAAAAAATTATTATCCTCGTGTGTACTGGTTTATACCATACATACAATTCATCTTTGAAAACAGGTACAAAAATTGAAAACCATCTGCAATCATAGATGGGTGACTAGTTCATTAATTACATAAGGACACTGTTGAAACGAATCAGTGAAAAACGGTGAATTTAAAACTACTTCAACTAAGAGATGAAACATTCACTATTTCATCCAAGTATTTCATGTAGTTCAAAGTTTTCACATGATTGAAAGGCAATTTCATGGAGTAAGTAAATCTTTTTTAAAGGTTAGATTATAACCAAACTTCGCAATCGATAAAGGCAAAATTGTCTGAAAGTTTGTCTATTTGAATTACAAGAGAATGACGTTTTGACATTACAATAACATCCAAAGTTGATACATGTAAATATATATATACCGTAATCATAATTATGGCAACTTCCCAAGCAAAATTCGATGACGCATTTCCTCAATAGCATGAACCTCAACAAACAATTAGAATATTTTTTTTGATGGATGCACTAACTTTTGTCTTTCTTATTTGCTATGACAGAATAAAGTTATCTTATGGCAGCTCAGGAACTGTAATAGATTTGTAACCATTGCTTATATATTCGCAAAATATATATTCATCTTCAAAGGCAAATGCAACAATATTCAATCTTGCTAACTTGATCCAATTATCATAGTTGGACTATGTGAACGCTAGTACGAATGGATATGAAAGAATGTAAAAATACACACATAGTGTAAAATAGAGCCAACTTTCTTAAAACTACTACCAGCAAATAGAGAGTCACGAAAACAATTTATTCACTAATAGATAGATATAAATATGAATCATGCAACAAAAATATGATCTTAAAAACATTTGCTGCGAGTTTTACATCTCAACTGTAGATGTGAAATGATCAGGCCTGTTCTACAAAGCACCAGCTATCTTTATATTTGATTAAATAAACTATTTCAATGTTTGAAAATAATGAAGAAAAAATTGTATTTTTTATTGAAAGATCTCAATATAATCCTGAATTGTCTGGGCATGATTTTTATGATTTCATTACAAAATGGCATCTTATCAAGACCTATCAAGAGTCATAATCTCAAATGACGAAATAGCACGATATACAGTAATTACATAAGGACACTGTTGAAACGAATCAGTGAAAATTTAACACTTCATCATAAAACGTTGACTGTTCATGTCGAAGATATACTAGTTATAATAATAATTATTCATTCACAAAGCAACTTTATCTTGTCTAGTTAGATTAGTAAGGCCAGATACAACCAACGGATTTATTTATAGACCCCTACTTGATATTCTTGAGATGTGGGACTATATAATAATAAGACTTGTCCCAGTTGTTCGCTATTAATATAGCAATATTTTAGAAACCAAAAATGAGGCCAATCTTCATCACCCACACAATATAATGAAATTTTGATAAACAGAACCAAAATTAGAACTGGGAGTGTAGTATGTTTTGCAAGTACCAACAAGCTATTGATTTTTGCTGTCGTTTCATATTTTCATAATTCCGTTAAAAAAAAAACATAAAGTAGTGAATTTGTTGATGATTTAAGGCAGTTGAATATCTGACAAAATGTTACCCAACTTTGAAATTCGTTGTGTTCATAAATTGAATGTACCAGCAATTAAAATCCCAAAATCAGACTTATATCTTGGCAAATAATCAAATATACAACAAAGATTTTTTTGTTATATGAATATAAAATCGCATCAGTTCTAGGAACCTATACGGGCACACCAGCTTACACAATGCTCAAATAATTAAAGCACCATAAGACGATGAATATAAAACAAATGAAAAAATTAAAAACATCCGTTTTGGAAACTTAGATTGGCGATTAAGTAATAGTGCAATAATAAAAACAAAATAAAAAACAGCGGATTCCTTACAAAAATTATTCACAATATTACATGGTTTTCAGAAGTATAAAAAATTAAAACAATTACAGAACCAGCAATAGTTAATTAAGTGAAAATTACTTGAATAATCACAGAATAGCAAACAATGATTTGTTCAATGAAACGTCAAAGATTAATGGCATTGATCATAAATGTAGAACACTAAAAAAGTCAATTTAAACAATGGTAATGGTTATTGAATTACAATATCAATGATCACCAAGATCTGACGAATCCCTAGACTCCTGTTCAGTCTTCATGATACCTCCACACCCTGAAACACCAGAATCTGAGTTGGTCGAACTAACAGATATCTGGTTGATATCGTTAACCAATCCTGCAATAGCATGATTACCAGTTGAATTGGTTCAGCAGCAATATGGGCCTTAGAAATTCTTCGTGCAATGTTTCAAGTGGGTTGATGATATCTTTACGTACCATGGATGGATTTGAATTAAAAACTACAGCCGAGGATTTTACTTTTTGTAATAAAGCCCCATCGGTGCCCGATTTTGTTGGTTGCGAAATGGCACTTTCATTTGAGGTTTCATCAATTTCATGGATAAATAAATCATCTAAAAGTGATACGTTACCCATCAGCAGAAGGTGGATCCTTGAATACACCACGGCCCGTGTCAGAGTTCAACTGCAATGACTTACTATTCACGGACATTTCTTTGAATCCGTATCACCTTTGTGTTAAAATATTATTATTACTAGAATTGGAATTATATGAATCCTATAGTCTTGAGACTGGTATTGTCAGTGGGTTTAGGGATATTTTTAATTGGAGTTAAAGATGATGTCAAATCACTATATGTGCGATATACTGGTAACGGTCCTCCAGCATCATTGTGAATTTGTTTTTATTAGAAGCATTGGAACTCTGGTCACCAGCATGGAAACTAGAATTAAGCGAGTTTCTGTGTTTTCTGCGGACCGGTGCCACTCTGCTGCTTGTTGTTTGCGCAAAGGTTCGTAGCGTAATCTGGCTTCATATTCTTCTGGGGAACTAAAAATCCCCCGAAACGTATAGCGTAGAAGACTGTTCTAAATCAGAGTAAGACCTTGAAAGTTCTTCTGGATTTACTGGTTTACAATACTTCGAAACTTTCTGGAGTTTGAGGGTTATATACAAAAACGGATTCTGCTGTCCAACATCTTGTACCGGAGATAACACTGTAGTAAATGATTCCGAAGATACTTAGGTTAGGAACAGGTGTCGAGATTGGTGATCAAAAGATTTTGACTTTGAAAGCAGAGGATCAAATCGTGATAACAGTGGATCGCTTCCATAATTATGAGTGCTTTGTTGAAAGCTTCACTCCTTGAGCTTGATATTTCGCTAGCTTTGACGGTACTTCTAAATCGGAATCACTGGTGTCGACTAATTTTGGGCTTGTTATAGTCCTAGTAGAGCTATGTGAAGGGCTGGCTGCACCATCACTCAACTGAGTATCAGGTCGAGGTCGGTAATCTGGAAGTGCTCTACTGGATGTGGCACGTTTTACTCTTGGTGGTGGATCGAGTCGAGGCGTCAAAACAGAATCAGATGATTGGTTGCTAGAATCCGGCCTGAAAATATGAAGATTCTCATAAGATTCTGATGTAAACGATCATTTTATAGGTAAAAAATAATATGGTATTAGCACGAAAAAATGATGCAATAGAAAAACTATCAAACTATAGCAAATTCGATAAAACATTTTGTAATAAATGAATTAATATTTTGAAGAAATAGTCCTCTGCTTAATTCCAAACAGAACTATATTTAGTAGTGAAGTAGACAAAAATGATTAATCACATAAATTCAATTATTAATAAAATGTTTTACATTACAAAGAAAAATGCAATATTTTCAACAGAATCATCTGACATATTCTACTCATCAACAAACATATTAATGTATTTAGATAACAAATAGTTTATATATTGCAGTATTTTTTTTAATTTATCAAAATTTCTTAAAATCATATATACCGTAATTGACAAAAATAAAACCATTGTCACACCTATATAAAGATACAAACGATCATACCCCAAACACAAAACTTTCTTTTTTCATAGTTAGTAGTCGAGTCGATTATCAATCAGAGAATACCTATTTGCATAATGGCACAAACAGTGAGATAGATATAGTTCTGCAATTTGATGCCCTATGCCAATCATTTATTTATTACATTCATTTATGCACATTTTAATCTTTTAATTTTTAATGCAAATAATCGAGATTAACAAATTATAAAAAAATTTATATTTTGATTTTTAAAATTTTTATTTAAATAGCAATGATTAATAATTATATTTTAATCTCACAAAATTAGAAAATTTTAAAATCATTGTTATTGAAGGAGATCTATGATTCATGGAACTAAATCTTTCTAGTTATTTGCTGTTGGGCGATACAGAGAATTGCCTTTCTCCTAAATTACAAACTCTTGAACTTTTTCATTTACAGAAAGAAATTGATGAAGAGCGTTTATTCTCTGCAAGCCATTACTTTTCCATTTTTCGAACTTTCCGAGACTCCATGAAGCCTAATATTTTACTCCAAATCTGATGGTTTCTTGGAAATTTGGTCCAACGTACAATTATTCCACTTGTCGATATGGACAACTCATATTCAACAAATAGTAAATGTTTACAGTAACAAATACTCTGTGTTCATACAATAGGCCATTGTTTTCTTATAGAAAATAATAATTCACAATTTATATAATCAGATCAGAAAAGAATTTTAGAAAACAAACTAATCAATTATAAATATTACAAGTGACAAATATGCAGAATGACAATAGAATATGAAAATGTGCCATTGCGTATATAAACTGATTGGTAAAAGTTAGTTACTTTTTGATGTTGAAGTTAATATTGCCAAAAATTATACCATCATCAAACTACGGTATTAGTAGTCATCCTATCTAAAATTCATAGTGAAATCACTTTTTGAAAATATGGTATTTTAACCATTGCACAATTGTAGTGGCCGCTTAGAAGCCGCTGTATGGTAATTTGAGATTCCGATATTGATGCGATTTTACTGAGGTCCCATTTTTACAGGCTCTAAAACGGGCCTCGCCTTATTTACCGGGTAGACTTAATCGCCGGGAAATACGGTATATTGCTCTTGCTGAATTTTCAAAAGCATTCAGGTTAAGGTTATTTCATGAGATGGATTTTTTAGTTTGGGAGAAATAACATGTTGCAAATAAATGCACTCTTATATTCAACAGCCATTGTTTGCTACAGATTAAAGTAAAAACAATATATCACTCTAGCTCAGGGTTTCCTAAACTGGGGTCTGCAGACTCTTGGAGGTTCGGGATGATTGCACAGAAGGTCTGTGATAACTGCATAGGGGTTCGCAACGATACGGAGAGTCTGCTTGATCTTTTATCATTGATTTCAATCAAAAAGTCATTTCATATTTTTGGGTTAAACACTGCGGACGAATATCCATCGCTGCTGTCAGTGTCAGAAAGAAAATGTTATTGCCATTTGCAACAACCTACATGTGTAAGGCAGCATTTTCAGCTCTCACCAAGGTGCTGTAGACTAGATGACAGAGCTATCCATCCTTCACAATCACAACACCTGTCATTTTGATACTGTACTTATTACATACACTTTATTATTGAGTATTTTTTTTTTATTGAAGTGACAAATAAAATAACTCCGACTCTGACACCAATATGATGACAAAACACAGGTCGAGACTTGCCACAGAGTCGAACCCACGAGTTCGCTTATCACAAATTGTTCTGAGAATTGAGTAGGGAAAAGCAAACTCATCCACCACATTAATGTAGTTTGTGTGTTTTTTTGTTGTAAATGAAATGTTACCTTTCCTCGTTAATTTGGCACAGAAATTGGTACGGCATAAGAAAGGGATGAAAAGCAAGATTCACAAACGTGGGTCCGCATCAGTGTTCCCTCTAAGGTGTGCGCGCGCACACAGCTTTCAGAGGCTGCGCACACGCATAGATTTACTGCGCACAGACAAATTTCAATGTAATGTAACAATGTGCTCGGTTGGCAGGTTGAGAAAATTTCTGTGCACACATACTCCAAAATATTAGAGGGAACATTGGTCCGCATCACAAAAAGTTTGGTTAACCCTGCTTTAGCTGACCAATAGGTTTACTACTTTTCTCAACTAGTCACCACCAGAGATATCACACCTAATGATGATACAAAAAACGTGCCCAATTAAGGGTGATCAAAAATAGTATTGTATTAGTAAAAGTAAGCCTTCTGTAAAATAAAAATGTGGAGCACATCAAACTTTAAATAAATTTGGTATAATGTCAATAGAAAATAAATTACTCATTAAACATCAAGTTAGAAAACTCAACTTTTTTTTTCACTACAGATCATTGGCTAAAATCATTGCAAAAAATTTAATTCAAATTTAAAATTGACCAATCTTGTAATAATCAATGATTGTAAATATGACTATGAATTTAATAGTTAATATCATTAATATAAATTGCTGAGGTTTTTATTCATTATTCATTTCACACCCATTAGTTCAATCTCTGTTTTTACCTGACAAAAATATTGCACAAAGCGTCGGTCGCATGCTATGGTATTAGCAATGAAAGATCCGATTCGCTGAAAAAGTTCAGAAATGAAGAAAGTTTACAAGGCTATGCTTGCATTGTTGCATATCATTTTATGAACGTTCAATTAATAGCCAAGCATTTAAAATATAATATGAAGAAAATCAGACTAAGATCGCCTAACAGGTTTGGCAGAATACGGCTCTTCCAAAACGAGCAGCTTCTTATATATATATATCAGTGGCTACTTGTATAGGACCTTGCTTAGAGTGAAAAGTGTAAATAAGCAGCATATGAAAATATAATAAAAAATATATGAAATAAAATATATAAAATCCAATGCTATCTAGTCTGTGAACACTTGGTAGGGAATGTTTGATCATATCGATTTGAGATTCTTGAATCTTTTTGGCATAATATTTATAAATTTTCTTTTTTCAATTTAGGGAGATAAAAACAAACTATGCGACAGTGAAACTGGTTTTATCACAAATTGCCAAGTTACAATTTCATTCATCAGAAACTAGTTGAATATTCCCCAATCCAGCCAATAAGCATTAAGATTAGGCCATCTCTAATGCCTTTCTCTCCCAAGGGACAAATATAAAATCCTACACTTCATTGTCTTGTCAAGTTGAATTCCCCAGAGAAATTATATATCGTGTAACAATTGTTCTGTAGCATATTAACTATCAAGGGACTTTATGGACAAAAAAGGATCTGGCATTGTCTCTAGGGATGTCTATATTTAAAGGGTTATTTTGCGGTAGCAGATAATGATTTCAATTTCAAATGTTTTGGACTAAACAATATCTACACAGAAATAGAAATTTATATTATCTAATATTTTTTTAAAACATTATCTTCAAAATAGACTCAATTTTTTTTTGTACATACCTTTTATATAATATGTTGGAAAAATCGAATGAAGTTATTGCATAAAAGCAGAATTAAATTACTAGGCGCTAGTGGTTAAAGCGTTAGACTTGACTGTGTTGGCAATTTGGCATCGTAGGCTAACATCTCTGATTCAAATCCCACGTCCACCACCTAAACCCAAGGTATAATAAATTGCCATGTTGAACCGGAAAGATTCTGATTCCCAAAAAAAGTTTCTCATTACATATTGTCTTGGCTGTCTGTATAGGGCCTTGTTTGGAGCAACATGCTCTATATAAAATATCAAAACTTCTTTGTTAGTTATCAAGATCTATATTATATAAAGAACGGCGACCTATAATATAAGTTTCAAAATATTTTTAATCAAAAACAACAAATAAACACCCACTTAAGCAATCACTATTTTCGAACAAAACCTGAATCTTGATGAAAAATTATTCTAAAGTTTTAAACAACGTAATGAACATTCATAATTAACTTACAATTGGGATTGAAATGAATCTTCCAATGGACTTTCTTTTTCTGATACTTTAGTCCACTTAATAAAACTCCTGCTTGATTTTCGTTGTTGTGAAGACAGTTCTGCACTGCTATGAGACGTAGATGGAAAGAGTTTTTCCTAATAAATGAGATTTTTAATGTTAACTATAAGAATTTTTTATAATTGATTAGAATTGAAAATCTTGGAAATGCAACATTCAATAAGTTGAAATCTTTAAATTAAGATTATATGATCATGACTGAAGACGAAAGATTAAGTGTATAAACACAGACAGAACCAGGAAAATCCTTCCTCAGAAATTTCCTTCCTTGGAAATTTTCTCCATGGAATACACCAACCAGATAAAATTCAACCCTGATCTTAAAAGCTTTTAAATTGATTCTTTGTTTTATTTATATTCTTCGGTTTTCCAAATTTTAGATGTTTAAGAATTTTCAGAATCAATTTTTACAGACACAAAATAGATATCTCTGCATTCGGCCGAATTGAGTTTTGCACTCGGACGAGGCTAGATTCTGCAGATTCGTAAATTAAAATCTCAGGTTCAAATCCCATGCCTACCACCTCAAGCAGAGTCATATAAATTGGGTAGGCAATGCCGATCGGAAAGATCTCGGTCTTCATAACTATACCTAGCAGTGACTACTTGTATATAGCAGGGGTGAACCAACCTGTATTTGGCTGAACCGTCAAATTTTTTCAAAATATCTTGCAAACGACTGATCGATAATATTGTCACACACAAAAATGTATAGAAATTAAATTTTCAACTGCAAAGACAAAATGTGCTTTCTCTTCAAGCCACCAAAACATTGAAACTGATACTGTTAGCCATACTACTGCTACCTCGCCTCGATTGAAATCAAGGTAATCAACCTTAGGATCTAGTTTGTGAAACTAAATATTTAATAATAACTGGGCAATAAATGAAACCATGAAACGTTTGAAACGATTTCCGGATAGGATTTGTCATATTTTGCGTTTACGGATTGTGTCGGAAATTTTTGACAATACCGCTCCTAGATAGGTCTTAGTTGAAATAGAGCTTCGAACTTAAAAAGCCCTCGCAAGATTGCACACACAAAATGTGTGGGTTTTTACTGGTTTATTTTATGTTTTAATATTGGTTGGACACAAATACCTTTTAGACATGTCGTTATGTCTATTCAAAATCATATACGATCGACTACTCGAGACATGGCGATCGACATGTTGGCCACCCCTAGTATAAGGCATTGTTCAGAGCATGTAATATAAAATGTAATACAGAAGTCAATAAACAAATAACCTTATCTTGCATGTCTGCACTGGTGGAAAAAGACTTCTTCATTTGAGAAAACTTCATGGAACTTTTCGGTGTATCATCAATTTTCAGAGACAGGTCAGCTTCGGTAATAGAAAAATGTTGAAAACTGCTTTGAGCCTCTGCGGCACTTGAACCAACGGTAAATATAGGTGACAAAGTGTAACCATTGCTGAAAACAGGTTTTTGGATTACTATTTGTGAAACAATTTCAAAGTTCATTTTGATGACTAAATTCCACTCTAAAGCTAAAAGATTATTAAGAGTTGAACAGCCCATAAGTATCCATATTTTCAATCCCAAATTCTTACAATTTAAAAGTCTGTGAAAGTCTAGGCGGTGTGGCGCATCATGCTAATCGTTAAAAATACGCTCGCCGCCGCATCTCTGATTTCCCTGCGCAGGTTTGCAGGTTCAAATGCCATGCGGAGATGGCCATGGGCAAGAGAACTGCTGAAATCCTTGCCGCCGTAGGGTGGCTCATATAACCACTGGTAGGTTACAGCTTCCCCCACCTTCGAGTCTATGATTCCAAAAACAAATAACTGGCCAACTAATCTCATACCCGACATGGACTGGTAACCGAACAAGAGGCTGTGGTTTGCCAAATGATTGAGTCGTCTTATCGGCTTTCTACTTCCCTGGGATAAATATGTATTTCCTATCCTAATATACAGGGTGCGCCAAAAGTAGGGTAAGAGACAACAGTTATTAATAATTATCTAATTCATTTATTAACTGTCACCCCACTATCGACTCACCTTGTATATTTTAGATACATATATTAAAGAACACACAATTCGTATATCTTCTTAACGTTGTGCTTATTTCAGTCTTTTTTTTTTAATACATCCAACATAAATTCCTAAAGATGAAATCTCACCTAGCATTTGAGTCATTCACAGTAGTTGATATCGAGATATCTTCAAACCTCATTGTTGTTGTCTGAGGATGTTGATATCCTTTACCACTCAGTGCTCTCTCCGGAGTGACCAGTCCAGAAGTCCAAATTGACGTGTTTCTGTTATATAAAAAAAATTGAGCAATAACAATTGGAACAAAATATTAGTATCAATGACATAGAGCAAATACAGTGTTTCGCAGGGTTTCCCAAACTGGGATACGCAGACCTCTGTGGGTCCATGATGACTGTACAGGGGGTTGTGCAACGATAGATCAATCTTTAATGATTGATTTCAATTAAAAAGCAGTTGAATCTTTTTGATTGATCAAGGCGGACGATATCCATTGCTGTCAGAAAGGGCAATTAAAATGGTTAGGCATAAAAATTGATACGGCATAAGATAGGGCCTAGGGGTCTGTCAAAAATAAAATTTACAAACAGGGGACCGCGGCCTAAAAAGTTTGGGAAACCCTGGTCTAATGTATGCTTCAATTAAAATAGATGATTGAGATACATATTGAGCATAGTGAAATGCCTGTTGAAAAATAATTTGAAATTTAAAATCAAATTACTCATATAGCTTTTTATCAGTTTCTTATCATCCACAGAACCAAATCAACTATACCCAGGTGTTAATAATAATAATTTTGAATTTATTTTTTGAATATAAATAAAGTAGAACAATGTAAAGCTATATCCAGATAGTATAATACCACATCATTTTAAAAAAATGATTTGTATGCTCTCTCAAACTTTTTATAAATGATTCGCGTTATTATAAATATTCATTATAGATAAAGGCAGTGAAAAGGTAATTGCATATTATGGAACATAAATTTTGAGTTTCTCTGGGCTAAATGCGGTATATGCATAAAACACTAACAGGGGAATATCTAAAGGAAATAGCAACAAACGAACACAAGTACACACACAACCAAAAAAAAAATAAAAAATTTAACTTTGTAAAATTTCTATTCAGAGCCAAAAATATATCTTCTTAGTCTAAATACGGAGGCTGGGAATCGCTGTTTTAAAATTTAAATAATCTAGTAATATCAAATTTGCGCTACAGAAGTATGTGTACCTATATGGAGGTAACAATTTTGTTTGCCTACTTTACATCAAGTTGTGTACAGTGACTGATTACAATGGGCAGGGGGTATATTCACTTTGCTAACACAGACAGTCCACGAACTCGTAATAGAACAAAAATATGGAAAATTGGAATAAAATTATGGCCTCAACTTAACCTGGTACACATACTACGGGAGCACCTCAAATTTTACCAAGTGAGCATCGATCCAATACACTTTATAATAAATTTAAAATTAACTGCCTGCCAGGTAAGACTACCACCTGCATTACGTCAGGTACAGACATTAATAATTTACAGCAGTAGAAGATCGGAAGGTCAACATTACCAGGCCAAAAGATTCCAGTGACAATATTTTAATCAATACTTTGGCATCAGTTCAAATAGGTATATAAGAGAGACAATTGCCATTTTTAAAATGACTGAGGTATTATCCTAATTTTTGGGTACTCCCATAGTATGTTTACCAGGTTAGAGTTGGGTCATAATTTTATTCCGATCTTTCTTATTTTAGTTCTATTACGAGTTCAGGGCCTGTTTGTGTTACTGTTAGCAAAGTGAATATACCCCATGTGACCATGTTCATAGGTTTCCCTTATCCAAATTGACAGTTATAGTAGGTGAACGAAATTAGTTACCTCCATATTTGTACACACTATTCTGGCGCGTCAATATTAGTATATGGCGCTTATTCAAGCTCTGAACAAAGCCCTATACAAGAAGCCACTGATATCTAACAATATAATATATAAAGTGATGTGGCTACTATCATTGGGACAGACCTGAATCTTCACAGCTCGGTATTGCCTACCCAAATGATTTTCTCTGCAAAGTCAAGAGCAGGCAAGGATGCCTAAAATGAATATATCGATTATCGAATATTCCAATAGTTTTGAAATTGGTTATATTTGATATTCTATTTTTTGTGAATTAGAACAGTTTTTCCTTGATAGAAGTCTTCCAGTATGACCAAAAAGGCCAGAATTTAATTTCTGAAAAATGTTAAAATGGAGACCAATCAAATCACTATTTATTGCAACTTTTCCTCACTTCCAAATTCAAACTCATTCAATATGCATCGACTTTTTATGTCATTAGTTGATCGTCACCTAATTTAGAATACTTCGAATATTTCATATTTGGAAATATTAATTTGGAGATAATAAAAATAAATAATAATGTAAATAATGAAAGAGTTAGAATTAGTGCTGACATATTTCAAAAGCCCTGTTATTGAATATAATGTAATATGCATTGTGAACATAAAAGCTTACTTTATCACTCCTTGATCACAATCAATGCGATAACCTAATTAAAAATGTAATTCCAACAAAGTCCCTTGAGATAACAAAGATACTTTTGATTCACTCAATTAGTTCTAGACAGACAATTCCAATATATTTTAAATTTTGAACACTGAAAAGACGACACAAAAAATGGCTGATGCTGACATTAGTATGCAATAAGCCTTTGATTGAAGATTTTCAAATATTCTGTTTCAGGCAAAATCAAAATTATTGCTATTTATCATGATAGAAAATATATAAAAATGTCGTTTTTACTGTAAATCTATAGGGACAATATAAAATTTGGCATATATGAATATATATCATATTTTGCTACAAAATAAGTTTGGAGTCAAACACTCAATAATGGTTTGGTTTTCTACTTTTTAAGCAAAAATCTAAATTATTGTTATAAGAAAAATGAGAAATGTTACACCTTCACTTCAGAACAGCTTGAAAACTAGGCTCTGATAATTAGAAGATACTATGTTTAATAAAGGCCATATTCTTTTTGTTAAGAATTAGCTAGCCCAAACACCCTGGGTGAAGTGGTGGGTGACACATCGCCACAGGATTTAAATCCAAGATTCGAACTACTCCAAAATTTAACTCAATTTCACTTTCAACTATAAATTAATCTTACTCTGTTTGGTCAGCAATTGCACTTCCCAATGATGCGATACTTTTTTCAATTTCCTTATTCTTTAAAGTGCCAGATTCACTAGCAAGATGTAGTATTGGTCCTACACCATCTTCCTCATCTTCATCACTAGAGGATGAACTAGAACTACCAGATCCTGACAAAGAAAGTTTATGTGAAGCAAAATACCAAAATAATTTACATAATGAAGCTGACCCAACTAAGAAAATTTATCATTTATTGTCTTTCTTGGTCATAGGGCTGCAAAATAAAATATTCACACCAATCTCAGGTAAGACAGGTTGAGCTCCAGGTAAAGGAAATTCTGTTTAGACTTCAGCTCTGAACACTAGCAAAACCAAATTTTTATAGAAAAAAATGTAGCATATGCAAGCCTTTTTTAATAATTGAAAATGCTCGTGTCAGCTTAATGATTTTGAGTTTCTTAATTAAAGATATCGATTATCACCATCAGACGTTTGAAATTATGATTCGACGAATTTTAAATTTCAACACAGAATCTAGTATAGACATGCTAAGCTCCAACTTTGCAGCTCTGGTTGAATTATTTCATACAATAAGCTATAATTTTAAACAGATTCCTGGAAACCAACTTTAACACAGTAATATTTCAAACGTCAATGAAATTCTTTCAAAAACCTCTACTACAATATAATGTCTTTCAACCTCTTACCATCATTGCCGTTTACTCCCTTTGTTTATGCTTGACTTTAAGTCGAACTGAATCGCTTGCCGTACTTGATTTAGTGATAGTAGATGTTGAAGTCTGTGGTTGCTGCTGCAAGTCCATTTGAATGTTTTGATAGATCAGGAGTTCGCATACTCGTGTTGGCATTTGCGAATAAGCTAGTATCTATGAATGGACTGACCTAAAGAAAAAAAGTTGTTGAACAAAATTCACTATAAGGTTAGTAGTTCGGTGTTTTGAAGGAGTAGGTTGGGCCAGTCTGGAAAATCCTTTTATTTATCTACTTGCATGGCCGCAGAGTGGAGTTTAACTTGAATTATTAAATCGGTTGGATGGTCAATATTATATAATGTACTATTCTCACTACAGTCTGAAATGATAGCTTGCAATATGCTATATCGGTGTTCATAAACTCCAGTTATAATCTCAAAATGTTGTTACGAAGTCAGTTTTCAATATATTTTATCCAGGTTGGTTTCATTTTGATGAGTGAAATACACGTTTATATGGCCATAATTAGTTGCACAAAGATCATAAATTTTTTTTCATCACAAGTTCAATACCAGACTTTATGAACAACCCCTGTATTCTAAATCGGGTTTTATTTAACAGAGAACATGTAGAAGTCATGTATATTCAACCAATTTGAAGTTGATAATATTGATTATGGACAACCTGCAGTATTGTTGTGATTCAATGATAGTATGTTGGCGCATCTACTTTATAATTGTAGATTACGATGTATGGTTGTTCCAATAATACATAAAAAAATGAATAAATAAATAGTACCATAACAGCACGAGGTTTTATAAATTCTGTTATTTTTTGTCACAAAATTACTCTGATTGAATATAAGTAATGTCGAAAGTTTCATATAGCAATGAATGAAGAAGCCAATAAGACAGATTGTGCAGAGCCTTGTTCAGAGCAAAAGATATACAAAAATAGCGCTGTGCATAATTATCTGTAAAGAAACACTCACGGCCATCCCAACGCACTGATTGTAAAATAAAAAAAGGCAAATTAAAAAGAATTACCTTTGTCATATCAGTATCCATAATACCAGATGCATCAACAGTTCCACTGGCAGGTGTTGTAGCATCAACTATTATTTTACTTAGTCCAAGTGAGAATGAATCTTCCATTTCTACATTGTTTAGTTTGGCTTCGACTTCCGAAAGTTTTGCGACAAGTTCTGTCATTTGTTGAAGGAGATCTCGATTTTGAAGTAAAAGTTGATGATTGCGAGCCTTGAAAAAGAAATTTGAATAGTCTAAAACAGGTCGTGCAACACGAGGGCCAGATACAAATAACTGGATATATCCGCAGGTCGCACTTTTACTTAACATAGGCTTTCTAGTAGTTGCAGACACAAAAATCTTGGTTATTGATCTTGTGACTTCGCTCTTGTGACAACTCAGATATGAACACTGCAACGCAAAGTAATTGGAATTACTAGCACATATTAGATTAAATTGAAAACTTGTTTCGCAGGTCGCACACCACTCAAAAGTGTCGCTTCTCCGTAGCCATACAAGTTTTCCTTGAGGGTCGCATTTGGATACAAAACACAGAAGTAAATGAGACCTTCAACAAAGCGGTTGGAATAACAAAGGCTATTGCAAAACATTTGAACAACTGTGATGACTACTGAATTTAAGGGTGATTTTTGGACCCAAGTATCAGAATACCAGTTCTGTACAACACAAGTCCTTAAGTTGTGAATCAAGTTATGGTGATACAAATCGGAGTTAAATCCGAATACCAGCAAATTTTAAAAATGTATGAGTTGTTGCTGTTTCGAATCGCACGTCATCTTAGTAGATATCAGAAGCAGCGAAGTTATTTTGCTATTTTAAAGATTTATTCAAATGTCTAATTTATTTTTAATATCATTGAGAATTTTTTCAATTCCATATATTTGCATAAAAAATTAACGCTTATACAAATTTTTAGGCAGAAAAATATCATGTGTTGCCAAGATGCATTCTTCAAATATGCAAATTTGAAATTAATCTTTAAGCAGAACTGATTTCATTTCACATTATATTACAAAAGTAGCAAAATTTCATGGTCATATTCCCAAGAGATGTTAAAAAAATTTGGTTTAAATAAAATTATATATTTTTGCATTCGATAAAAGAGCATAATCAAAATTACTGCTTTTCATTTCAGTTTTCATGATTTGAGCGGTATCATAATTTACATCAGATAAACAGAAATACACTGATAGATAGCAAAATAAAAACCTTACCTGCGCTTCCATACGAGCACTTGTTTCAGCTAGAAGTTGATCTTTCAATAATTGCACCTGGAAAAAAAATATACTTAGAAAAAATCAATATTACATCAATAAAAAATTACTTCAAAATTAGTCCATTATCTGAAAAAATTACAAGAAAAAATGAGAAAACGTCGCATAATTTCAAACAAATTCAGAGATTCAAAATGGGAAGTTAAAACGGTACAAATAATCTACTTTTTACTGATTTATGGAATCACAGTACCCGAACCAAAGTGTTCGGACATCAAATATTTGAAAACATTTAAAATTTTGGGATGATTCTATTAGATTATTAATGATATTATTTATATATAATATTAAGATCAGAATTACCGTACATATCGCTGAACACAACCCAGAAACAATCTGGAACAATTGGAAATATTTCATAATATATTCAAAACAGTTAAGTAATTATTCAGTCTTGACAATCCCTGGTCAAATTAATTCCAGTTTTTATCACAGAAATTCTAACAGCTTTTGAAATTAGCTTACTCTGACAATTTTTAACCTGTGCTACAGCCATTTGAGCCTGATTTTTCAGCCTGTTGTATTTTTTGTTGACTGAGTTGTAATTGATGATGAGTGCTTAGAGGAGTTTTTTGAATCGATGGATTGAAGTAGTGATATTGATAAATTTTGCGACACTGGCGTTGAATTCGTCTTTCGAAATATTGGCGGTTTTTTCCATCAAGAGACAGTGATTTCTGAAATTAAAAAGTGATTCGCATATTTTTCTCTATATTTTTATCTACTTGGTGGTGGTTTTGGCTTAGAAAGACTGGGCCCCAGGGGCTTGTATAGAAGGGATAATAGGAGCAGCATGTTATAGGGTTGAGTTTCTAGCTTGTTTGATGATTCAAATAATAATAAATTACAAATTATTTTTTGAAGCTAGGTATCATTATTAGAAATTCACCCCGAGCAGCAGAAAAGTTGACATGCCCCTGACTGAAACTCTTACCTAATTTCTCAAACCCTAAATGAGTGGTAAATATGTAACATAAGGAATATAGGACAGAATTTTTATACACAAAGTATATACATAAATGCTATATACATGTTGACAAATCGATAAGACAGATACAACTTAATTATTAGTACATTAGCATTAAAACAGACTGATTTAAAAACAAAAATTTGACGTTATTAATTAATATAAGTAAATTTAAAAGAAATATTGGCTTGGGATAAATGATTATAAAGCGATGTAAAATGGAATATATAATGTGTGCGATTCTTATATGAACACTCGAAGAATAAATATGAATTAACAAGGAATTACTTTGGCATCTAGATCTCCGTTTGGAGTTGTTGAATTTTCTGTTATTGTTTCCAGTGTTTTATCAGGCTTTGAATTATCTGTTTCTTCACTCTGATCTTTATCATCTATTGAAAAAAAATGAAAAGGGGATAATTAGAAGTTAGAAAAAAAATTTGTAGTTCGGTATGCTACAGAAACATGACAAACAAAGTACATAAGCAAGCCAAATGTATTGTAACCAATAAATTAGACTCAAATATCCAATTTTCCTCATTGTCCATGTATTTACTTATATATGCTCGCACTGTTCAGGGCGTACAACATAACATGAGATTATAAAATTGTCATTGCGACATTGCATCATATATAATATCTGAATATATCTAAACATATCTGTTTACATAAGTATGTAAGAAAAACTGGGGAGTGTCAGACAACCTTGTATTAAAACAGTATGCACAAGCATTCGTGTGTACTCTCAATAATAATAGCTGTTGTCAAATATTAAACCAATATATTAATTGCAAATTGTTTCAACTCTATTACCATGTGTACCATAGTTTAGTTGTGCCATAGCAGAAGTTAGATCATAATAAAGTTTGAAAACGACCGGCTTGATAAGACTATTAAATATCCAAAAATGACTGCAAAATATTTAATATCACATTTAAATCCCTATTATGAAAATTCGGCTTCCAACTTAATCACAAAAACATCACCAAATGAGATATAGACAACACTTAAATTATAATATTCATCCCAAGGGAAACGGGATAACGTAAGACTTAATCCCATACCAAACCACAGTCTTTCATACACTTGGATGATCAAATAGGCAATAGGCTGCTACCCAGTTCAATGTATCCTCGCACATAATCCCTAACCAAACTTTAACCTTATTGGACTCTGTATACTGCTTAGATATAACCTAGGAGTGAGTCACAATTTTCTAGCAAGTAAAATGAGCCAGCTGCTGAGTTCATATGAACCTATGATCACTTCCTAGCATAAACAAAAATCATAATTCTCATGCATCATTCAATTTCAAGAGTATACATATATTTCAAAAGTCACAAACTTAGACGCCTAAAGGGATGCTGCTTGCTGACACAAAGGATATAATACTCCGAGATGCAAATGAAAAACTTAAGAATTTAATTAGGATAGAGACAGAATATACTTACTATAACAGACGAAAGATTCAACAGCATTTTACCTGCGCTTGATTTGATTTCTTTTAATTTATCATTAGAATTTTCATCTTTTTTACTGGAGGTCCTATATTGAGTTTATGGCAGACTTCAAATGCTTGTCCGACTGTCCTTACGACTCTCATTGCTTGAGACTAAAAAATCAAAACATATTATTAAACATGTTAGTATTAATAAATAAAATACTTCATTTGCAATGCAATGTCGTGAAGTAAAATTTTGTGAAAACGAAAAGGCTGGAAATGTCAAGTGTGGGGATTTTGTATATAACCGGCACTTGAGTCTAGCGATTGTATTTCCAACCATTCAAAGAACACAATTCGAGAACGAGGTAAATTCAAACAATAACAACAAATGAGTTCCACGCAATTTCCTAAAAATATTACTTTCTGGTGTTGGAATCTTTCATGTATTGACATTCCAGCTAGAAAGTAAATAGAGTCAACTAAACTAATAGAAGAATGCAAAGAAATTTTTTTAAATGCTAGACTATCAATAAAACCATATAATGAGAATTAAATGAGTTTGTTAAAAAAAATTAAACCAGGGTCGTGCGACTCGTACAAATAAACATATATTATACGAATATTATTTGCAGATATCAAACATCGTTATCGAATTGATGGGTTTCATTTATTTTGGGACACCCTGTACTATCTTTACAAGCAGAATCTAAAAAATGTTCAGTCAGCAAAGCCAGTCAAGCGTATAGAATATTTACCGAACTTTTACCACAAAAATCTCATCCAATCATAACAGCTTGTGCAACAACTCAACCATGAATTACCAGGGCCCAACCCAGCAATGAAACATTATTTGGTTCACTTGGAAAAACAAAAACAATCTTGACAATTCTAAGAAATATTAGTCAATTGGGTACGAAAAAATGACAAGTAAATTCTTAAGTGAATCAAATGAAATAAATTGAAAGATTGAAAAATAGCGCTACAATATATCAGCATAAAGATCATACTGGATTCGATCAGGAAATAGTTATTTATACTAATTTTATTTTTTTCAATCAAAGCCAGAATCTCAATATTACCCCACAAAAAATGAATTCTCAATAATTGCTAATAAAAGAAAATAAGAATATTACACCGCAATAAAATTTGTAGTGCGAGTGCAGACATTAAATTTTATATAAAATCCAAATTTCTTCTTTTCCATTGTATTGGAACCAAATATCACCAGTCAATCAGAACTAAGGGCATACCTCCGTTTTAACCAGATTGTATGATTTAAGCCACGTCAAAACAAAAAAAAATGTTTCGACCAATATCAATACCCCTCTATGTAGTAAAAAGCGAGTATGAAGCAAAATAATAAAAATAAAAAAATAAACTGACTGAAAGGAGCTGCTGGTTACATATCCTTGATAAATATAATAATTTCACCTATTCATTAGAACGGACTTACCTTTTTTGGTGACTTGAAAACGTTACATCTAAAGACATTGCTTTGCCCATCACGAGCGATGAAACTCCATATCTTGAGGTCATGGGAGTCATGAGAGACATAGAATATCCTGTAAAGTGTAAATATTAGTTAATTATTTGTAACATATTTTGTTGTTTCACAACATTGTAAGGCTGTGGGTCTTTCTAGTATAAGCTTATTGATGGATGGGTCTATGATTATTGCATGCGGGGGTGCAGCCTCTTATTTTGGAATTTTTTTCAACTTGAAGTGTTTTGCCTAGAATAAATAACAACGTCCTTCTACAGTGAATGCATCATCCTTTTGTGGTTGAAAACTATTTTATTCAGTGCATTATCACATTTTTAACATAAAGGGAGGCAGGCAAGACACAATGGTGGAATTTAACTTGGTGTCTCGCTTTCAGCGATGGACAACTTTAGTTATATTGATGAATGCCTCATGCCCCCGCTAAAACAATCCTGGCTGCGCCCCTATTTAGGATTATAATAGAAAATTAAAATAGAATATGAAACTACAGATCATTGCAATCCTGCTTGCCTAGGACAACAATTCAGGGCACATTTTTATACATCAGGCTACTGGGGGTATGATAAGAATATAAGATTGTGTTTATCCACTTCAAAAAGCCAAGATAACATTGGCTCAAGTTAAATGTAACGTTTCACAATGTTTATTCTTGAGCATGTCATGTGTACGACAGGTATTTGACAGCGCACATCTTGTATCAATACTCAAATCAGATGCAGTTTCTTAGGCCACTCGTACAGTATTCACTGGTATTATTTGAAGAAGTTTAACATACAGCCTAGCATCAAAAAGTTGAGAATGATTAAGTACAACTACAGTAATAAAAAAAACAAGAGCGAAAACTAAAATGTTATTTTAAGATGAAATTTAATTTTAGAAACTAAGAACTAAGCATGAACGTGAAATTCAAATTAGCAAGGTACATTGAACCTCTAAAAGGGCACCGACGATGGATCATATTTCAAAGGTTGAATTTGAACAGCAAGAATATTTACCTGTATATTGGATCATGCATAATTAACATCCTGTCCAGATCCCAGGCCCATTCCTTTTTCTGAAACAAAATTTAACACCTTTATTGAATGATAAAAAAGACAAAAAGTCAGGTCAGAAGAAAAGACAAACTGTACAACTTAAAAAAACCTATTATTATTAGTACTTCCCGTAGTATTTGTACCAGGTTAGGGTTAGGCCATAATTTTATATTCCGATTTTTCCTATTTAGTTTTATCACGAGTTCGGGGACTGTCTGTGTTAGATAAGTGAATATACCGCCTGCCTGCCCATAGGTTCAGTCCCTTTACACAACTTGATGTATAGTAGGCGAACAAAATTAATTACCGGTACCTCCATATTGGTACACATACTTCTGGAGTGCCTTATTTTTTTCATGAGAATTCAGTTCAATCTGATCAATGATTTAAAACAAACCTTTTTTCTTTTGCGCAATACCACTCTAACTCCATCTGTTGATACTCTGATATTAACTTTTCGTTTCTTGATTGCTTTAGCCTTGAATTCATACTGAATAAAAGAGCAAATGATAAGAAAATTAAACTTAAAGCACAAAGGCAAAACAGTTGTTATGTTTTTGTTAATTTGTAAAAATGCCTAAGGCTGAAAGACTGATGTGTTCGTGCTCCAAAATGTGAAATTGATCGAGGCCAGTAATGTCTGAAACCAAAAATATACCACACAGAATACATTCCGAAATATCAAATATTGAATATATTTTAAAAGGGTCATGTTCAGCAGAAATATTTACACAAATCACTGTATGTCATAAAGTCTGACGATGTATAATGGTTCAGATTGAAATGATTATTTTTTTAATATTCTATTTTTCATTTCAATGTCAGGGTGGAACCTAATTTTTATCTGACAATATGATGAATAAATGCTCAAGGTGACAAATCAAGAACTACGGTAACTATATTGCATATTATAGCCAAATTGGTCCTGTTTTGTATATATTACTGTATTCCATTTATATATCAAAGAAAGAAATGATTCAACACTGCTTAGTGCTTAGTCATAACTGTGATATTGCTCATGACAATATATTTTGTACAAATATTGACCATTTGGAAAGCATTGAGGTAATCAGTCATAGACCAATTACTGAACACAACTGAGCATGCAACAAAAATATCAATAATGATTTTAATGATTAAAATTCTCCTTTAATAATATGGTAATCAAAACATTGCTTTCAAATTTTATACAACTTGCAATAACAAGTTCAAATTGTATTTTACGAGTATTATTCAAGTATACAATGTAAAAGTGCCGCAGGTATTCAATATACAACAATGTACATTTTAATGCCGCTCACGTCACACAATGCAGTTCAAGGCTGTATTTTTGAAGGATAAAAATCTTAAAATCAGGCCTTCTAAATGGGAATAATAAAATAATTAACTATATACAATTTTAAAAATAGTAATTTGAAAAACATATATTTCAAACATCAAAAACTTCTTTATGTTAAAATTCCATTTTGTGCTATAAATTTGCTAGTTGCTACACAATGTCTTTCCCAAAAATAATTTCCAAACAGGATATAATCATAGGTATAAAATAAGCTTGAATGATTGTCAACCTTCTTGTCTTGCTAAGTAATAATAGGCTTCATGATTCTATTATAATATATTAGGCATGTAATCAAAGTACAACTATAATTTGAAGCCACATCCTGAATTAACAACACATACTACAGAACGGAAGTTATCAATCTTTTATGGCTGTGTAAGCATTTCCTGTTCAACATTATTTTCCATTCAATGTTCTATGCAAATTTGGTAAATTAAAACTCGATAAATTACAACATGGGATACAGCTTGGATATTCGAACGAAGGGGTTTCAAAATGCTGTGTACCTTGTAACACTATAATGCCTTTTTGGTCATATTAATTTGAATAACGTTAATGAAGATATAATTAAAATATTAAGCAATTTAAGATTTTGGGTTAACAATAATCATAAAAAAAGTGAATAGCCTACTCTATAAGGATACATTTATAAAAATTAATAACAGTTTGTCGTCATGAAAGTATGCCTCGTTTAAACACAAAAGGCTGTGATATGGCCGAGATAAAAGCATTTTATTTCCACTTGAATGAGCATTAACAAAGACCTACGAAACAATAACAGTAGTCTGTATAGTTGGAAGGTCTCAAGCATGCTGCTTGAGATTTTGAATCATAGGAAAGATTTTCGTATTTTTACTTATCATTAATTACTACATAAAGCAAGTTTTGTCTTTAATGCAAATAAAACAATGATGCAGTAAAATCTCGGGTCAATCAAAATATTCGAAACTTCTATTGATTAACCAACTACTTATTGTGTATATATTGTATTGCACACAGTTGATAACCAAAAATTCAGACCCGCGGAATTTTTGTGGTTTAGCGAATAGCGCAAAATCTTATTAACAACAGTTATAGATGCCAGACAGAACCATATAGGAACAAACCAAACCCATTGATGATAGATAGATAGCATACTAGAGAAGCTTAAAGAATATTAACTTGTAACTTTCACTCCATTAGGGCTTCAGAAAGCAATCATTTAGAAAATAATTCAATACAAATTTTTTCCACGGTCCTGAGATATGAATCAATTGACTTGACCCCAGTTAGAAGAAGTGTGACTGGGTTAATAATGGCAGACTTCACATTTGGTTTATATTTATAAACACAGGTGAAGAAAAAAAATTTTGTTCTGTTATTATTATTTAGCAATTGAATCTATTCGTTTATTCTCAATAAAAATTCCGCAAAGGAATACACCAAGCATTAGACTACAGCTATCTATCTTTTTTGTGATGCAGGGTGATCCATTCGGTTTAATACTCTAACAAGAGAGTGAAATAGAATTAAATTACCAGCTTGAGGGATATATCGTCAACGATATTTATTAATCCATCAATAAAACATGGTGAAGATGGTTGGTATGCAGAATGAGTATGGATTAAAAGCACAAAGAAAAACACAGCTTATAAACCTATAGTATTATCATAAACATAAGGGATTAGAGTAGTTAGGCACCTTCAAGGAAAACTTGGTCGAAAGGACATGGCATTCTATAAGGGTATCAAAATAAATATCATTGATTGAATTACAAATGATAGAAATTATAATAAATCAAAAACTTCCTCAAAATGTTTATAAATTGAGAAATGAGAACAAATAAATTTTAGTAATTCTGATTATTGTACAAAAGCTGATATCACAGTGGGGCAAATGCAGAGTAGATAATAATTTCAATTCTCTGACCGCATTATTTCAATGCGCACATGTGGCCCTGTTTTTGAGTTGGTATTAAAAAGTGGAATTATGTAAATGGCATTATGATCAAACTATGTGTCACATTAAACATAATGCATGCCATTCACCAAAGTACTTTAGAAGGCAATGAATGCTCTTAAGACTACTTTATAGAATATTCAGTAGGATTACAATTTCAGTTCCAATGCTTGTATTCTGAGATTATACCCCATATTATCAGAACATTTGTATATAATTCAGTATTATTTTTCAATTAAATCTAGCTCATATTTATGCGAAATTGCGGCATGCAAAAACCCATGTCTAAAATTTATTTTACTCAAAAGTATCTTTTTTATAAAAAAAAAAAAAAATTTTGACATCATCAGCAAAGTTATAAATGTATTTCAGGTGACCTGAATTGTTCCAAATTTGCAGAATAATCAGTCTGGTAAAAGAAGCTATTCTTAGAATGATATTTATAGAACAACTTTGAGGAAATAATACTGTCAAAGCTCAGGTAGGCCTAATATATAATCCAAGGACATTGCTAACATCATACCGAAACATGCATGATTCATTCTCAATGCAAATCAGATAAATATATACGATAATCCATGCTTGGTCAGCATTACATAATGCACTCTTGAGAGAATTCCAAAAAAAGCAAAACCAAATATAATATGATGTAATAGAACCACTACTAAATAAACACAAGTCGTACACCATACAGCTGTATGACCTTCTGGTCATTCAATTTCTGTTTCTTTCAGAATGTAAGACAAAATTCCAAAATTTTTTTTTAGTCAAATTCGAAACCCCAGTTATGCCTCTAGATATATATGAACAATCTTGTTAAACTTCAGAAAAAATATTGAAGATATAAAGATATACGGTAAATGAATTTAACTCACTCTGATCCTCCTCATTGCTACAACGATCTCCATTCTTCCAGTCGGCCGAGGTACATCCAATGTTCCAATATACTGAAATATATATCCCATAGTTAAAAATGGACAAAATGAATTTGAATACCTTTTTTAAAAATATTTCAAAGCAAGGTCACAAGAACTCACACAGAAATGAAAGAGAATGAGCCCTCAGTGAATACATGAAGTCTTTGGAAAAATATTTTGAGCATAGAACTTTTTATGTCTGTTAGGTACACTGACTGTAAATGAGCAACTGAGTTTGCCAGCTGAAAATTTTATCGAGGGAAAAGTTCCGAAAGTTCTGATGCCATTTGCATATTTGATAATCTTTCTAAAATTCAGTCTAGGAGATTTAGTATGGTCACAGGAGCACCAGCCAAAATATGACCACCATTACTACATCACTATTATCTATGCCGTCAGTGTCTTGGATATCTATCATAAACAGATGATCTACCCATAGACCAGTAGGTAGCAATTTTTTTTGTTAAATTCATCCTTTCGCCTATTTTGAACCCTTCATTCCTCCCCATGAGGAAGTACTTTGTTAGGCCTATTCAATCTTGAATGAATTATCATTTAATATTATGCGCAAGTCGCACTTCCACTTTTGCACAGTTTAAGTTGTTTATAAAGCGTTCATGAACAAGTATTATATATAGTAATAATGAAGAGCTAACGAATATTAGTAACACTACAGCAAAATTCCTTCCCAAGAACAACAAAATTCTTGCCATAGACAATCAACCTTCTATTCTGAGTAAAAACTTTCACAAAAAGATCTGCGTATTTACTGAAACAATGTCAAAATTATTCACACAATTTAATTTTCCAAAAATGCCAACATGATGGATAAGATTTTCATATTTGTCCCGCGAAAGAAAACGACGATAAGATGGCTTAATCATTAGCAAACCATGGCCCTAATTATTTCAATCTGGAATTTTACATTCAACTAAATTTTAATCTGAAATAAAAATTATGTGCATTTTTTTATTTTATAATATACCTTTGCTTTGAATTCAATCCCATGCCGAAATGCATCTTCATTATGCATTGGAACACGACTGTCATACGCATCATCTACAAGATTGTAATCCTTCCGTTTTCCGAGCCTGGATGGCATATTCGCAACCTGCATCTATCTACTAGTCTGTAAAACATGGAAGCAAATAGAATGATCTCAGAAAAGATTGATTTCAAGTTTTTCGTCAAATTAAAAGTACGCAATTTTCTAATCTTTCTCAAAAGAGCAGTAAAAATGAGAAACAAGGTAAATGAAAAAATGTCTGGTCTACTAAACCCTATCTACTACATGGCAAATATTATTTTCAGTCATAATGAAAAAAACTCATTTAAAACAATTTAGATGATTATATGGCTTCCTAACCTTTGAAAGCATTTATCATCAATTGAACACTAGTATTACAACCGTCACGAATAAAATATAGCAAATAATAGCCTAAATATAGGAAATAAAAGTTGATACCAATCTTGCAATACCTGAATACCAGAATATCTAACACTGCTGCACTAGAATATCACTATTTTTGAAGAAATGAGTTGCAATGAGAGAAAGATATTACAGCAGGGTTGCCATATTGGCTCTTTTAACGCCAAATTTGGCTTTTTTCAAATGTGTTTGGCGTCAGAATATCCGTTTGGCTTTTTTCAAGTCTATTCTAGTGTCTATTATTAGAATCATATGAAATACAATATTTAGTGTGTAACAACTGAACAATAGCCTATTACCTGTACTTAGCTACTTAACATTAGCATTTCCTGGAGCATCGATTTCCTTGTTTGTTACATTAACTCTTAACCATACCCAATAAGAAATAATTGCAGTTTCTGCAGCTGCTCAGACAGATGTTCAAGCAGGGTTGTAAACATTGCCTCGTTTTTATAGTTTACGTTCTGTTTCCGAAAAATAGTTGGATAACTTAATTTTCATTATGCCTGATATGGTTTATGTGAGCTTTAGTTTAATTCTGCAATTGCAGTAGCGATGTGATTAACTACCTAAAATTACTGAATAAGATATCAGTGATCCACCTGTGAGCGGCAGGGGGTTAGATAATTTTTTTAATAAAATTGATGGTTTATAAATTTTAAAAGTAAAAAATATTCAATAGTAAAGTACGATATAGGGAGAATTTTTTAAGGTATATCACAAGTTTAAGTAAAAACATGTAGGTATATCACATTCTGATGCGGCACACTGTATTGTATTTATTGAATGGTAAAATAATGCTGTCCGCTCGATATTTAATTTAACTCCTACAGTTCTAGGCTATAGGAACTTTACTTTCTATTCGTGTGCCTCACTGAATGAACTAATGGCTCTATATCATCATCAGTACGTTGCCAAGGGCTTAAAATTTGACAAATCATGGGTAGCCTACTTAGTAAAATTGTTGGCTTTTTCTGGCTTTTTTTTATGTCTTGATTTGGCTTTTTTTGATCGCTGGGGTCTGGCAACCCTGTATTACAGTATTATTCGTTGAACAGTCAATTACTGAGTCAATATTGTGTACTTGTGTATAATTGTTTCCTTCCAGAATACCAAATTCGAACAATCAGACAATTCTGTACTTTCTGAATTTACCACTATTGGATTCGGTAACATGTGAGTGCGTGTTATCGGTTAGTATCTAGTTGAACAAAGTTATGTGATAGAGTTCTAAATTAAGTCATGATTATAGGATTAAAGCCTTGTCACAGTTTGTCTGTCTTTCTGGCCTTGTTTAACTAGGTTTATGATTTTTTTCTGTTTGTGCTGTTGAGCCTATGAGCGGGCACATTATATTTATCATGTTTCAAACTTTTTTAAAGGTTTTGATCCTCTCCTGAATATTGCAATTTAATTACCGATAATGAATTAGCGTATATTATGGAGTTTTCAGAATAAATTATCCACCTATCTGTCAGTTCTTGTATCTGACAGGACAGGTGCTAAACTATGACTTTTCTCAGCATTACAAGCAGGTTAATTCTGTAATTTATTGCTAGGTCTATACAGCTATACCGAAACCTGATACTGTGATATACAGATATATGGTAAACCCCTGAACTAAAAAGTCTGGAAGTAGGCAATAAGCCACATGTTGCAAAATGCTGTAATCAGATATTCCAGTTGTTTTTCTTCTCATTCCAGCATTCTGCCATTTATAAATTTAGTAAATTTGTACGGTAAACAGGTAAATAACTAGACGACTTTCTGTAACATCGGTACTGTACTTCAGTCTTCTGACAGTCTGTAAGTCGAAGTTGCCCCTAATAATTCCTGTATCAAAGAGAATTCCACAAAATTAATATGTTTTTGATTTTTCAAAAGGACTATATGATAGTCTATATTTTATCGATTTATTTAAAACATAAAATCAACCAATTATAACACAGTTGGAGGAAGTTGGGGAAATAAGCTATGATACCAGGCGACAATTCCGTAATTTGTGTTCAAAATAATTAATTATTTCAACTCCACATCGCCTTATGTGGTGGAATCACATTCATCAAAAATTCAAAGAAGTCAGAAAAGTAGCATTTGATGGCAACCATGTTAGTCGTCTGCAGTAATACAGGCCTAGCATGAGCTTAGATTAATTGCCAATTACATAGTATGTATGTATGTTTATTCGTCTCGTAAAAGCAAAAACACAGGAGTTAGTAAATATCAACATTGAAGAGGGGATGTATAGTTGTATACACAAGACCATACTGGCCTAAAACACATGAAAGTGCGGCATACACCCCCTACTTTGTTAACTTGTTTTAGGTGTTTTCCCAAATATCTACTATCTTGTTTATTTACGTCAATCAGCAAAAAGTCGACAGTGACGTAACAATATAAATCTAAGCGGCCAATCATACATCTTTTCATTCCAGCAGATTTCCCAACCTTATTGTGAGATAGTTAATGCCAAAATTTTCCTACGCAAGAACGAGTTCTTCGGTGGAGCCAGTGGTGGGATTCGGCCATTGAAGTGGATTCAGCCGGTTCGCACCGGTTCCATAGAACCGCCTCACGGAATTTTATGAGATAGGCGAACCGGTTAGCATTGAATTTAAAAAAAAAATTCTCATCCAATTCATCAACACAGTATCTTTTGTAGACATACGTGAAACACATATTATATTAAAATTTTAAAAAATTCCCCCGTGCTGAAAGTAGCGAATTTCCCCCAATTTATCGAAAAAAATCGACGAAATCACCAATTTATCTGAGTTGAAAACAGACTAGGCCACTCACATCACGAACAAATCACGCAATATATATATGGAACAATGTAAAACTATGCCATATATCTGACTACATTCCGATATATATTTCCTGTCTCAATTTTGCAGGTCCTGTTACCTGTACGAAAAGTATATTTGAAGCAGTCTAGTCCCAAAAGGTCACAAAGCAATTAAATAATAGTTTTGGGCATGTGATATCATAAGCATGCGGATTTTATATAACGCAATGACACGTTGAACTTTTGTTTATGAAAACGTCTACTCCTTTAACCTTGTAAACAAAATATCAAACAATGAATCCAGTTCCAGAGCTATTAAATTAAAAAAGAAGCCATTAGCTGAAAAAAAATAGTTATTATTATTTGTATGAAGTATAAGAAAATTATAAACTTGAAAGATATTCTAATGATTGGGAGTGAGCCTGGAGCTATAGCATATATGATTGTTAAATGAATGTGATGTTACCGTATATTACTATTTCATAAATTATCTCAGAACTTGCAAGTCACCCGTTCACCCTTCAGCTTCAACGCCCACGTGAATGAAGATGCGTTAAAAATCTCTATATGTTTTTATTCGTATATTTCCACAACACACAGAATATAAATCTTATAACATTTATCCCTACTAGCTTTGAATGGTTTACATCGTCTTTTCTCTCCCTATCGAAAGATATCGGAGTCGTATTTATACGTTGATCATAAATCCAATTAAATGCTGTAAACGTGAGCTCGTGATTCACGTTATAAACAGAAATTCCTATTATCTCAACAAGGGTAATTATGTACATCGTACGGATGGGAACTTAGATATAATTATTTCAATCAGTGCCAAAGGTCTTGAGAATATAGATTTTAATTTGATAATGACTGGATGGAACCTGTTATGTTCTTAAACCTGGTGTAATTTGATTCCTACGAAAGTCTTTGTTCGAATTTTGGGAAAAATTAACTGTGTTTTCATATTTTAACATGAAATGGGGTACATTTGGGGGTTAGTTGCTATATTATCTCCCCATCTTACTAACTGGAAGTTTAAAGATTTGGCACCCTCTAATAAAGTGGAAATATATCGAAAAATACAATACACAATGCTAAAATTAATGATATAGGTCAAAAAAATATTTACATGTATATGATCTACAATGAGATAAGACATTGAAATACAGAAGAGTTTATAGAAAGGGTAAAGGTTGTAAAGTAGAATTACAGAAGGATGGCGTATTTTCATTTTAAAAATTTTGGTTTGGACGGTTAAAACATATTTTCAATTTGATGTATTTCGCTACGCTAAAATACTCAATGCTCGCATTATCGCATTGTTACGATTCTGTAGACCTAGTTGGTCAATATATGCTTGTCCCATGTCGGGATTAAAAAAACGCATTTTTAAGTTTATGCCATCTCAGGGCTTTTTTGAAAAAATAACGCTTTGGGATACAATTTTTGTTTAACGAGCTTATTATTTCACCGTTCTATATGACGGCTTTGTAAATAATCAAAAGTATGACTCGCTCGAATCTACTTTTAGAAAGCATTTTAATCCTAATGAAATCTATTAATCGAAAAAGGAATGCTAACCGCAAATTTTCAATAATATAAATCTCTTGAAAGGTATTTGAAATTAGAATATTCAAAGTTTTACCATTAATCAATTTATAAAAATTGAAAGTCGAATGAAACGCCATGTATATATAAGAAGAAAAAGAAGTACTTTACCTTAGTATTAGTGGAAGAATGAAAAATGTCTGTCTCAATGAGAAGAAAAACCTGCAAATCACGAAACAAATTGTAGGATGACATGCTCCTGATCTGTATATCCATTATGTATGCGCGAAAATATCTCTATTGTTTGGAATAGAGCGCGTAATTTATCGTAAAACAGTCCATAGAGTTCATTGTTTTCAACAGTTCGTTTTTTGATTAGGTTTTTCACCTCGAACATATATCATTTTCTAAAAAAGTTCATTTCGATCGATGTTCAATACAGTCCATATTCATGATTTTAACGTTTCCAGAGTCCGTTACCATAGTTCAACTGTTTTCAATTGAGATTATTGTCTTTTCATAATGTTTCTGATCATATCGGCTTGTCAACAGTTTGCTACTTCAATCGTTGTTCCAGGCAATTCGAATCTCCCAGACGTTCGTAAGTTGGTCGAATTTGATTTTCGCACGTTTTGTATAGACGGTTTCTCGGCAATTGTTGATAGCTTTCGCTTGGTCAGCTTTTTGGTTGATTCCGTCCAATTGTTGCTTGTCCTGGTTGTTGTCCGTTGATCTGGTCCGTTTCAGAAGGTTAATTCAAGTCGGTTTTGTCACCATTTATTGCATAAATGGTTGTTAAATGAATGTGATGTTACCGTATATTACTATTTCATAAATTATCTCAGAACTTGCAAGTCACCCGTTCACCCTTCAGCTTCAACGCCCACGTGAATGAAGATGCGTTAAAAATCTCTATATGTTTTTATTCGTATATTTCCACAACACACAGAATATAAATCTTATAACATTTATCCCTACTAGCTTTGAATGGTTTACATCGTCTTTTCTCTCCCTATCGAAAGATATCGGAGTCGTATTTATACGTTGATCATAAATCCAATTAAATGCTGTAAACGTGAGCTCGTGATTCACGTTATAAACAGAAATTCCTATTATCTCAACAAGGGTAATTATGTACATCGTACGGATGGGAACTTAGATATAATTATTTCAATCAGTGCCAAAGGTCTTGAGAATATAGATTTTAATTTGATAATGACTGGATGGAACCTGTTATGTTCTTAAACCTGGTGTAATTTGATTCCTACGAAAGTCTTTGTTCGAATTTTGGGAAAAATTAACTGTGTTTTCATATTTTAACATGAAATGGGGTACATTTGGGGGTTAGTTGCTATAGAGCTACCAAAATTTCTGATAACTACAACTGATATGGGTAGTTTGGGTCTAGCTCAGGGGTGGACAAGATTTTTGAACCAGGGGCCAAAATTTTTGTCTACCTAGACTGGCGGGCCATGTAAGTGTGTCGAAAAAGTAACATTTTAAGAACAATATTTACCAGTGTTACAAAGCAAAAGTAGAAAACAATATGCCTCGTGCCAAAGCTAATTTTAACCGCAATTTCAACAAATTCCTTGAGCTATTTTCCAGCTGAAACATCAAAATTCGATTTCGGTTCGGTTGTGGCAGCACCAGGCGGGCCAGATTGAATTACCCGGATTTGGCCCGCGGGCCGTACTTTGCCCATGTCTGGTCTAGCTCCAACAAAGCGAGTTGGCGAGCTTTATTACGAGTTCCAGGGATGTTGTCGGACTTGCTATCAAGTGGTGCCGTCAGCATAAACGTGTGAATTGCAAATTATTATCCGGGAGATTGTGTAGGTATTCGCGTAAAGTAAAAACCGTTTTGAAGTTTCATATTAGTATGCGTTAAATGCTAATAACAACATATTTCATAATAATCTGTGTTCTGTTTATTTCCATAAAATATCAAAAGATAACTAGTCTGTTCTTGCAATTATTTTTAAATTTTTTTTTGCATGATCTGGAAAAAGATTTTTGACAAATAAAAAAATATACGTTTACAATGACGTTCTCATAAAAAACAGAATCCACTGAGATAATATCAAATAAAATGCAGAAAATGTCTTATGTCAGTTTCTGTTATAAGTTTCACTCTTGTTATAAACAATTTTCTCGTACACTTAGTCGAAATAAAATGATACTGTCTCCTGAATTTCAGCGAAAAAACAAAAATTAAAGTAAATACCTGTCGGCGTCGCTGGCTCTGTGTTATCACACAAGCGGAATCTGACTATGAAAAGTATGTATTGGAATTGCGCGAGTAGTTAGTAATCGTATATATATATAGCAATTGTAATTCACTAAAGTCGGGCTTTACTGATTGTCGATAGTATTTGCGCATCGTACAGCGGACAAACAATCGGGTGGCCATTAAAGACAGTAACAGTACAGAAAATTCACAAAAGTTAGGACATGATTAAAAATGTTAACCGAAAAATATTTATAGTTAGAAACTGGTTTATTATACACCCTGACGACAATCTGTTATCGTCAATGTGGGGCTGGGCATTTTCGAAAACCTGGTGATTTCAGAATCGAATCGAATCTCGAATACTTGGAAAATATATAATTGTAATCGACTTTTTATTAGTAATAGTCCTTGTAATTAGTCCTGCCAACCAATGGATTACTGAAAACATAGAATACATCACTCAGACAATTTACTGAGCGTTCACACACAATAAGAAACACGTTTTATCAATAACTCACTACAGAAAATAGTCATATGTCACAATTGCGTTGAAAAAATATGGCTTCAATATGAAAATATTTGGGAATTCACCTCGACCATTGGCGGAAAGAAACAAAACAAGATGGTGGCGATTCGAAATTTTGCTCCGAACCGATTCGAATAATGTACTATTCAATTCGAAATGCCTAGCCCTACGACGGTCAATGTTAAATTCGTTCACGTACCCGATCGTACTACGCTATGCATTTAAGAAATTCATTTGCTAACGTATTCATACGACCATGGGTATATTTATAAGTAATATATATATATATATGAGCCGACGCATTATCATGGAAATCTAATTTGATTAGAGCTAATTCCCACGAGATACTTATCGACCAATTAATATCTTTTAAAAGTGTCCTTTTCGGTGAGTTATGTTGTTTTAGGTTAATTCTATTTGAACACCAGAAAATTATAATTTTTTTGTTTAGTTTTGGCATCAAGTAAATAGCGTCTTAGCATGCATTCTTGCTTGTAGTAATCATTCCAATCCTATTTAAACAGTTATGAATTAATTTATCCAATGCTTGCGGCGACATGCGTAGGATGTTAAATACCAGGCGTTACTCAGAATTATTTTGAAAAGAAATTATTTAGTGTCAAATTTGGGCCTGGGGGTATTACTGTATCGGTTAATTAAAAGTGTTTAAAATTATGTGCTACAGATGGCCTGATTTTATGCGGCTGTTAACAAAAGCTCTAAAAGTTAGCGACATAGGAAAGAATTATCATGAACAAGATAAGAGCATTGTAATGCGCATCGATGCCAAGTTTCGAATTGGCAACCGCGAGATCGTGGCCCTGATGGAGATGTTTATAGATATAGATCTAGATGGACTGATTTTATGCGGCTGTTAACAAAAGCTCTGAAAGGTATCTCAAATAGTAAAGAATTATCATGAACAAGATAAGGGCATTATAATGCGCATCGATGCCAAGTTTGGAATTGGCAACCGCGAGATCGTGTCCCTGATGGAGTTGTCGTTAGATATAGACCCGTGCATTAGATCAGTAAATCTGACAACGAAGGCTATGGTTCAATTCAGGGTTACTGGTCTTTGGTGCTGTTCAAATAATTTTGTTGATGGTTTGAAATGTTAACGTATTGATTTGGACAGGTGTACTCTGATTGCCAATTTATCCTCCAACGAATGGTATGCCACATATATATTTAAGATGTAGTACTATATCTATAAGACTGTTTATGATGCCAAGTTCAGAAAATCATGCCAAAATACTTTCAGGTCTATTACTCCTGGTAAACATTGTATGTCAAGCCAAAATTGAATCGTGTGGCAGAAAAGTCACTTGCTAGAGGGGGATTTTATGTGTTCGGAAAATATGATGCAGGAGACTTTACACAATCGGTGCAGAACTTACAATAACGTTTATCAAAAGCGTGACATACGTTCATTTTTCTTGTATTGTTTGTGATTGAAGAAAGAGCTTTTTGCTTTAGAAAATCACCCGAGCCTCTCGAACGGGCAGCGATGTCCATTAAGGGTGTTCACAGAGAATAATTTGATGGAATGCAATGATAGGGATTATTTATGAGGGAACAGCAGTAAATTATGTATGACAAATTTTTTCGGTTAGAATTTAAAGTATATATATAATCATACTGTTCACAGGCGCACAATATTTTTGGAGCAATATAAGTTTGTTTATATGGTTATGAATAAATACAAAAATCTATTCATGCTTAAGGCTTCAATTTCAAGAAATGACGAGAATGGAAAACGATTCTGTGTTGTCCTACAGGACCTCATTATTTATCAATTCATCTCTGGATTTACTCCACGAAGAGCCTTCACTTGCGCTTGCATCGAGAGTGTTGTTTTGGATATTATCCATCACTGGATTATTTGCCAACTTCATCGTAATTTATGTCATTATCAAACACCGGAAAATACTTCTTAAGATTCCTTCTAACAATTTACTGCTCTGTTTAGTTATTACTGACATAGCATGTGTTTGTATATTGATTGCTATTCGATGTGCCAACTTAGCTATGGAACAAGATGATGATGTAACTGCCGTACTTGTGTCCTCAGATTCATTATTTGCATCATGTGAAGTCGTTTTAAGCAATTGGACAGTGACAGCCATTGCGGTTTTTAATTATTTGGGCGTTGCATATCCTATTAAATTTCGTATATTTGCCACAAAGAAAAAAGTCACCACAATTGTGGTGTGTATTTGGTTGCTTGCGACAAGTGTGTCAATTCCAGTCATATTTTTTCCAAAGATAAAAAACTTTGTTATAAATCCTGAACATTTAATAATGGAGGATATTTATATTTATTATTTAATCATTTTGGATGTACTTTCAAATGTACCCCCTGTTCTCGCAATTGTTATATTATATCCCATGATATTGTATAACCTAATAATGAAGCACGAGCAGCACAGTAGAAGTGATTCTTTCCGAAAGAAAATGTATAGTTCTATCAAGTATATTTCATTTACATATGTATTATTTCTCATGTACGCATCCTTTAATCTGGCGATTACTTTGACACTTTTCAGCTTTCTCGCTACTGATCAGTTAAGTGAAATACCCATTCCGGAATCAGCCAAACGATCGTTGAGATTCATGGCATTCATGGAGCCTTCAATCGTTTTTCACACTGTGTTAAATCCGTTTCTTCACGCCCTTTTAACTGAGAATTTCAAAAAATATTATGTTCCATCCTGTTGGAAAACTAAAGAAAGTGTATCAATTACTAATACATAGTAATTTAAAATATTTTGCGGATGATGTTATAACATTTTTCAAGTTATCCTATAGCCAAAAGGAGTGCTCTCATTTCTTTACTTGAACTTTATCCTCGCCACTTTAACCTGTGTAGGAAGAAGTAAGGATAAAAAGTGTTTATCTCTGTTTCATATCTTTTACTATGTGCCGAATTAATATATGGGACGAAATAGTAGACAGTTTTTCATTCGCACTGAGTTTCTAATAAGTGGGCTAAACTACACCTAAAAATGAGAGGAAATATTCAAAATATCATATATTTGTATATATACTGAATATCTTTTGCGACGTGGTGTTATTGATGATTGAATTGGCATTCACTTTTTCGTTATCTTTCATTTCATAAAATCTGTAATTGAGTTCAGAAATTGGCAATTTAATTTCGGTTAGAAAGATAACAATTTTTTGACTCAGTGAATAGACACCGACTCAGCCTTAGCTTATTTACACAATATTTGTATTGTAAAATGAAATGAACTACTGTGAAAGACTCGGTTGGTATTGTGTGTCAAACTGACAGTTATCAAACTCCATTTGAAACTCATTAGTACAGTGATCCTACTTTTGTTGCTTCATGATTTAATTTGACTTTTTAGTTGTGTCTATCAGGTAAATACCCCAAGAAATTCATTCATATTTCATTTTTAGGTTATCTAAGTCTCATCAACATCAATCAAAGCTTTTCTGAATCTACAAATCATTAAATATGCATTTCAAGTAATGCTTTAATTTTTATCAGATGGTGGCTTGTATCTTTTGTGATAGCGGTGAATTTTTTTCTGTCTTTGAAAACCAATAGCAATTACAAAATATTCAAATAATAATATTAAAAACCAACGCATTATCAGTGGCAATTGCACTGGTATTATTTATACACGACATGTATATACAATCCACTTCTCATATTTTGTGAAAAACGCGTCAGAAGGGTCAGTTTATAATTAATTTAGACTTTAGAATGTCAAAGTCAAATAATATAAACTCAAGATTGAGTTCGTCTGATAACGAGATGAAAGGTTTCATCTCTGCTTCTAAAAGGTCCTGGACCAGCAGACGCTGGCTTTATGAAAAATGTCGTCTTAGCTGCGAGATCAATGCGACAGATGAAAACAAACAAAAATATCACTGAGTAAACAGATGAAGCTTTTGAAAATCGATGGAGATGGACGGAGACATCCGACTTTGAAAAATCATTGCAAGATTATTTTGAGTTATAGGCCTATCAATATCAGGATTAAATACATGCTAAAACTCAGGAAGAATGTTAGAGAGTATTTAAGAAAGCATTTACTGGATTATAAATGCTTTATGTGTTTGCCAAATATTCATGAACTGATATGGTCCAATGACAGCACCCTGTGGTATTATCCAATCTGATATGAATTTTCGTGCTAAGCATTTTTGCTAAGCGTGCCAAAATTATTGAGCCCGCACTACAAGAAAGCCTATGTTAAATAAAGGTGCGGCCCGCGGTTTTACCCAATTGTTTCTTTCTGGCCCTCTTGTATTTAAGGTTGACCCCTGGTCTAATCTAACGCATTGGTTCCCAAACTTTTTAGTTTTATTATTTTTTTATTTCCAGTAAATTTTATTGTGTTTGAAATTGGAAACGGAAATTCAGATCAAAACAGTCTTTGCTCGCGATTATGCCATTGATTAAAATTGCCGATTTTTTCAGCAATGATGAATTTTCTGTCACTCAAAATCATCCATATCAATTTAAGTATTTTCAACGTAACTCGCCATTGCGCCTACTTACAATAAATAAATATATTATTTCTCTAAAATACTGCAATCTGCGTACATTAAAATAGATGGTATACTGCCCGATTATGATAGAAATTAACTCACATTTTTGCGATCTTGGTAACTGTTTAAATTTTAGTCGCTCAAGATTATTTTCAAGATATCACCGTTAGCAAAATCCCAAGTCGACTATAAATTTTTTCTTTTTTACATCGATTAGTTTTATATTATCATCTGATGAAAATTATTCCTTGCATAAATTACGCTTTATCTCAGTTTAATTGACGTTTTCGTCGATTTTTTCGATAAATTGGGAGAGGATCCTCTATTTCCGCATGGCGGAATTGTTTAAAATTTTAATATGTGTTTTATAGATGTCCAGCAAAGATACTGTGTTGGTGAATGAGATGAGAAAAAATATTATTTCCTACATAAATTACGCTTTATCTCAGTTAAATTGACGTTTTCGTCGATTTTTTTCGATAAATTGAGAGAAAATTTCCTACTTTCCGTACAGTGGAATTTTTTCAAATATAAATATGTGTTTTATATATGTTCACCAAAGATACTGTGTTGATGAATTGGATTAGCATAAATTACGGTTTAATTCAGTTAAATTGATGATTTCATTAATTTTTTCTATAAATTAGGGAGAAATTCCTTACTTTCCGCACTGTGGAAATTTTTTAAAATTTTGATATATGGGTTTTATATATATGTCTAACAAAAATACTGTTGTGATGAATTGGATGAGAAAAATTATTTCTTACATAAATTACACCTTAACTGAGTTAAACATATATACTTCTCGGTCAAAGCTCATTCGACAATATCCAAATATCGATGCCAAATATAATAAGATGAATCAGTCACCAATGAATGTTGAAAAACGTCTCAAAAAAGTGGAATTAGAAAAAAAATCTCCATAAAACTAATTAAATGTAATATATGTAATACATATATATTTGAAAATAGCGTCAATGATTTCAAGAATTATAATGAAAGGAATTTTATATTTGAACTGATCATTTGTATTCGTGAATATTTAGGATACCAATACACGTGTATTCGGAAACCGGTGTACGTGTAGGGAATATTAGTTATATGGGCAACATTTTTAACAGTGAATGAATAAGTATTGCTTCTGAAAATGGCAGTGGTCGTTTCTATCTTTTACATAAACGTAAGTTCCTGTGTGCTATGATCCACTTCGTCGATCGTTATATCTAATTATTCTGTGTGTGCAGTGTTATTACATATCGATCTTGATCGGTAAGTATGTTGATAGGTATTTGTCTGTTTGTTTGTTTGTTAGACACTTTCGTATGTTACGCGATATCTCACGAAAGCGAGGTTGAATCTGCTCCAAATTTTGCATGTGCATTCATCATATCTCGGACCAGCCTATTGATTTTGAATGAATTATGTCGTATAATTGGCGGGTTATTAATTAATTAGTGATGGGACACGCGGTGTCGCTATTGAGCCACGGCGAAGGATACACGCCACCAGATCGATAATTCGGCGGTCTCTGATCGCTATCTCGTTGTAAGATCAAGAACTAGACAGCATATCATCAGAAACACCAACCACTGTATCGCCAGCAATCAAACAGCAACAAGAAATACATTTTTCTAAATCGGTCACCCTACACTTCCACACAGGTCGTATATAGCGTAATGCAATTATATTTGATATGCAGTTTTATTTCGCCGTCTAATCAGATGCATTAAGATTTTTAAAGTATGGCGAAACATATCCAGTTATGAATACTTATTCAAAATTAGTCCAGCAGTGCCAAAATAGTTATATTTCCTACCCTTAATCATATTCCCAAATATCATAATGCTCAAAGCAAGTACAGCGATTTCATTGTAGGCTTATCTCGTTATATACCTAATGATACGTCTATTTCATGGGTGATTTATTTATTTTCTGACTATGTTTGCAAACATGCCTAAATTGTCGGATTCTATTTGTACAGGTATATTTATACAATAGGCAGACACCATTACTAGGTAGAAATCATTTATTCAAGTATGTTTCATAACCATAGCTGCAGGAGTGTAGCATGTATAAACGCGCGTGGCTTTGCTTAAGTGGAGAGGTCGGACTTTATTTGTACTGGTATATTTTTACAATAGGCCGACACCATTACTTAGTAGAAATCATTTATTCAGGTATGTTCTACAACCATAAGCTGCAGGAGTGTAGCATGTATAAAGTGCTTGGCTTCGCTTAAGTTGAGGGGAGTGAAGATAAATTTGTCGGCGAGAATCTTCCTGTGTAAAGATTATGATTTTACGATTCAGAGTTCAGTTTATCAAAGTAATTTTACTGCACC